ATATTTATACTATTTTCAATTTATACTATTATTTAATCAAAATAAATTTTCATTTATAAAAAAACAAGATTTTATGGAAAATAAAATTTATTAATATCATTTTTAATTAAAATAATAAATGCCAAAACTTCTACATAGTTCAATTTGAACCATTAATTAATTTCTAAGATTTTAGTTTGTTTAATTTTATTTTATTTACCTGTTTATAAATGACTATGATTGCAGTATATAGAAGAAGTAGATACAAAATATCCAAGAATCACATTATATATTTATAGATATATGTATAATAGTAAGTAATGTATCAAATAAAAAATTTATCATGTATTTTAAGAAAATGTTGATGTCTGGAAATATTTACTTTTTATGTTACGTATTATATCAACACAATTATTAAAAAAAGCTTTAAATATAGTAATATTTTAGTAATTGTTAATAAAATATATTAAAAACAATGACGTAAAGTGTTAAAAATCTCAAAGTAAATATACTACGTACGATTTAATTCAATTTTTAATGTATCATAATTTATTAAATCATAATTTACCATATCTTCGTACTACAAACACAAATATATAATTAAATACACAATTAAAAAGTTATAATTAAATCATCATCTACTTACTTTATTGTATTCACTGATTATTTTAACCATAAGTAAATATAGTTTGTTCTGTTTATACGCGAATTAGTCAAATTAAGCTTCGTGACTTAATGTATTATTTATTATTTAGCGAAATACGCTATTATACCCTTATTACAAGAAGTAAAATATTTCATAATTGCTACTTTAAATAATTATAATAGATAAGTATACCTGGCAAGCTAAAAGAAAAACTGTGAATTTATTATATTAGCTGTTTTGAATAAGAGCCTGATGCAATTTCCCATCTGTCATTGCAGTTATAAATGGTTTTACAAACATTCTAAAATTACTCTGGTTATTAAAAAATTGCTTATTATTATTCCGAATTTTCAGTAGTATTTGAAACTATTTAATACCTAATACGATTATATTTAAAAATTAAATTCAAACTAAATCAAATCAATTACTTTTACAAACTATATGCTGTCGAATGATCTTGGTAAAATTACATAAATTAGAATAAATGTAGTTTTCTTATAAGTAGTAGCAATAATACTGTATTATTTACTTTAGCAACATTGTAACCTATACTATAATTAGAAAGAAAACGATGCATTAAAGAGAGAATATGGTTCAGAAAGACATTTAGATTAAAGACATTATTTGTTTTAAAATTGATAACTGTAAAAAAAAGTTTACGTATAGTTTTATTTCAAGGACTTATAAAGAAAGTGAGATGAAAAATATGCAATTAAAATACTAGATAGAAATATTAAACATTTCTCGATATATAAATGATAGTTGCTCGAATATTTACAACTATTCGAATCAATTCTAAATAATAGTATTCATAGTTTTTGTTCAAATATTCAGATGTGGGTCAACTAAATTATTATGGTGTAATATTAGTTAATATATGAAGTTTTAAAATACGATATTCCACGATAAATAGCGATTTTTTAAATTTATATTCAAATTATAATGTTGCTATGATATGTAACTTATTAATGCATTTACAACTGTTAATATACAGCAATGATTAAATCAATTAATGATAGAAAAATACGGAAAAAGACGCATATACTAATATATTCATCGGTACATTAATAAACTATTATCAATAAGACATACCAGAAAGGTGTTAGAATAATTAATAGAAAAATTCATTATTCGTGAGAATAGATAGTTGACCTTATTTAGTATTTGAATATTGTCAACTATAAAAGAAAAAGTATAGTAAATGTCAATGTATTTAAGTAATTCATTTAAAAAATATTTAAAACATTTATTTGAAAACATTGATTAAATAATTAAATATTTTTAATATTTTTAATATCAATATAATAATATTTTTAATACTTTAAATCTTTCATGCAGTTATTATATACCTAATGCAATTTGTATAACATAAAACTATCTGTACGAGATTTGAATAAATATTATTACACTTTTAAATGCTAGTAATATTTTGTTATTCTAATGATATTTTGTATCTTTAAATTGAGTAATTACATAATTAAAAAGATATTTCCTTGCTGTACTTTATAAATTATAATTATTATTTTATCTGATAGAATCATATATATTTAGAATTATTTTGTAACATGTACATATTTAAGCATCTATGTAGTTTTTAATAAAATAATTTTTAATCAGAAAATTTGTTGGAAATTATAAATGGTACTTTATTTGCAGTATACACCAACATTTTGTATGAACATTGAACTAGAACTTTCGTTTTTTTTCTTTCCTTGAGTTACTGATTGTTAGAGAGATATTAATAGATAGATAAATATACAGAAAGAGAGGATATGAATTATAAGTATTGTGGTAGAGGAAGATTGTATCCAGGAGTATTTACAAGCAATAAAAGCCTCGCCATATTGATATAACATTGTAAGAGAAAGAAAGAAAGCAGCGATTTTCTCAAAAACAAAATTGGAAAGTCATTTGAAAGCATTGTTGAAAAAGAAAACGCATAAAAGAATGAGTTATTTAATTGCTTTTATAATAAATGAATTCTTTTCATAAACAGATCAACATGATTAAAATAATATGACAACTGTTACACATGAGTGCAATTCTAATTTATTATAATTATATATTAATATGATTATATATAGTTTTCATGAGTTATTATTATATAAGTATTGAATATTATTCAAAGAATTTTGATCAATATTTTGAAGATTCCTGACATCAAATGATATAAACTTTATGTTTTTAGGATTCAAATAAACTTAATCAAACAAGTTGTAGATGTAGTTGTAGATGTTGTAGTTGTAGATTCATATTTATTCAAAATTATATTTATTCAAAATTATTCATTCATAATCTAATATATATGAACTTAAATAAATATGATTATTTGTGGATATTTATTAAATTAAATATTTTGTATATGTATTCATATTCAAAACCGTTGGTTTACTTATATATAATAATATATCTATATATAATTTAATATTTAATACGTTACATCTAATTTTTGTATAAGATTTTGTTAATAATTGTCTCGATTAAATAATAACGAAAATTTTATTCATTATTTCATTTAAATTACAATTGACTCGTATGAGTAAAAGATAAGATTCTTCTAATATAAAATTTTTTTTAATTAATTAATTAATGAGTTAATTAGTTTAATTAAGATAACCTTTATTATAATACATTAGTTTGTCAATTTTTTGAATAACAGTATTCATATAATTATTGTAATAAATATAAAAGATTAAAATAAAGAGAAGCACAAGCTTTTAATTCAGTATTCATAACTAATCAATAATATTTCAAATTGTTTTATAAATTATACTAGTTTTTATTTTTAAACTAAAAATGTATATTAATTATTATTGTAATTTAGCTTATTATATATAAATAATTCATATTTCATTACTTTAACAAAATAATTAACTATTTTTTATTATATTTAAAAAATTGATTTGGTCGTATAGATAAGCTTGCATTTAAATAATAATATTGACAATATAATATTCATTGTATTATAAATACATAATTGTAATATTGCATATATTGCGCCCTATATGCAAAATCGTTTATTGTCTAAAGCGACAATAATTAATCTTTGAAATTAATATCTTAATATTTTTAACTGTATACAATAATGTTTATTATTTGAAGTGTAAACAATAATACTTATCTAATCATATATGTACTTTTTTATTTTTTGTATTGCCTTTTAATTTGATCAAAGTTATTAATATAGATTTAACAATATAGTTAAATCTATATTGTTGGATAATTTTATTTAATTCAAAAGAAAAGTAATATTAAAGTTGAAACTTACAAAAAGATTCAAATAGCGGAATGTTTTGAATTACAGAGTATAAAATATTCAAAAATCATTGCTCGTATGTTTAATAAAATCCGGACAGACGACATTCCACAATAAATATTCATATCTTCAAGCCTTGAAAGATCATTGAATGATCTGTTTACCTTTGAAGCTCAAATTCTAATTAATTTAAGTAAATATTTTCTTAGCTATGTTTTAGGTATTTAATATTTCTCTCAGCAATTGGAACTTATTTAAAATAATTCGCTATGATAAAAATAATATAAGCTGAATATAATAGAATTTTTATAAGCTATTTTGTGCTTATTATCAAACGATCCACAAGATTTTAAAGCATTCACTTCAATTATGACCAACTTGAATAAAAATTTTTTTGGTCATATTTTACGTATATGATCATTCACTTAGTTATTGAAATTTATTCAAAGTAATCCGCTATATTAAAAAATATGACATACATATTACTAAAGCTTACTATGCTATTTTATATTTATATCAAATATATTCTTTTATTAATAAATTATTTATTTATTTATTTATATTACAAAGTTACGGTTTATCACTATATATATCAATATTTCATTGGCATGAAAAAATATATAGTTATGTCTAACTTGTTAAATAAATTACTACTGTATTTAAAATTTAAATAAAAATTTTAATGTCTTTAATATGAAATATTCTAAAATAACACCGAAAACAAATAAATTAAACCTTTAATCTTTGGCTAATTATAAAAGAAGGTGTGGAATAAATCCAACCAATCCGACCGATTTATTCGTCCCCTATTTTTATTGTGCCAGTTTCTTGTTGGTATCTCTGTGTGATCCTGTGCTACGTCAATCAGTTAATTTAGCACCAAGCGATCACAATCGTGAATCTGCCGGTGTAATTCATATTACTAATTCGAACGAAAAAAGTTGTATATAAGTACAATATATAAAAAATATACTTAAAAAGCATTTTAAATCACAGTACATACAGTCGAAATAACGGTATCATGTATGATTTCTGAGAAAAAAATTAATTTCTCAAAATTTCATTTAAGTCGTTACATTTTTTAAAATTGAAGTTATGATATACGCATAATTTATTTGTTTTTGTTTTCAAAGTAGTTTAGTTTATAAATATTAGGTGAATATTATATATTGAAATGTCCAAAAATCCACTGGAATCGTCATTCAAAGAATGGAATGTACAAGCATCGTTAATTGCCAAAAGAACTAATAATCCAATCAGATCTATCATCGAAAATATTGTCGCAAAGCCAAATCCAAAAAAGCCGTTGATAGCATTATCTATTGGTAAATATATGAATTATATGAAGAGATTATTGTATAAGGAAATATTTTTTGACTATTTATAAATTTATGTATTACATGCATGAATATTTGACTTCTTAATGATTATTTTCTTTTTTTAAGAATACGGAAGATTTTGGAGATTGATTGATTTTATGATTTTGGAGAATAAAGTTCTCCACTCTTTTCTAAATATATTATATTCGAGATTAACATATTAGAAAAATATGTGAATATTTAAGATATTTTCATATTTTAAAGATTTGTATTAATTTACAATATTGAAATAATTTTGTATAAAAAAATAATGTTATAAAAATTGAAAAAGAAAAATGTTCAAGACATATAGTTACGTTAATTATTATCTATAATTTATAATATTTCAAATATAGTTTTATATATTCTATGTATCAATTATTAATCAATGTATCGATTATTATTGATCATATAAATACTTACGAAAAATTGAAAAACGTGCAACAAAATAGAATATATATCTTAGGAGTAAAAATTCAAAGTACATTTTGAACATATATAAAAATATATATGAATATATATTTGAATTAAATATCGTTATATTGGACTAATTGTTATAGATATATTTGAAATTTGATTAACTTGAGATTGTAATATATAAATGTGTGTGAGTGAATGAATGTGTGTGTAAAAATATATGGAAATGTATATATGATATAAACGTGTGTACATTTGCATAGATATATATGCATATATTGTTAAAAAATACTAATTTAATTCAATACTAAATTACAAAAATATTAATCTAATTCAATATTAAATTAAAATATATATTAATAATATTTATATTAAAAAGATAATAATTTCATAATTATAAATTATTCTTATTTATATACATTTATTTATATTTTTTTATATATATATTATATATATTTATATATACATATTCTTAATATAATAAATAATAACTGTAAGAAATAATAATTAATACATGTTTATAATGCATATATCAATTTAATAATAAAACCTTTTTAAATTGAATTATATTATTTGTTGATCCCTATTTTAATAATTAATAATATCATTGAAATAGATTATTAATGTTTATTATTCTACCTTTTTTATGTTTTATAGTAAAAAATTGTTGAATAAATATGCGATTTTTCATGGTAACAATAATAAGGCTTTAAAAGATTGATTGCTTTTACTTAACTCACAATTAAAAAGTTTATTTAGTCTAATAAAAATATATTAAAATGCAAAAAATAAAAATTTAGATATATTGTATTTTATATCTGCATATGCATTTGTACCATACATAATTATAATAAATATTTCTATCAATACTTTCAACATAAAAGTCTTTGATTATAAATTTATAAATTATATCTTTGTTTCACAATAGAAATATTTTTGAATTTGAATTGAACATACCTCAAATAAAATCTAGAATAATCATTGATATGATAACATTCAATACGATTCTGTATTTCAAAATAAAATGAAAATGATTAGATTTATTAAAATATCCTTTTTGTTTAATAGGTTTATTATTTAAATGCATTTTACCAACTATATGATTTATTTTATATTATTTTATATAATAAAATTGCTATTATTATTTTATTATCATTGCAATTGTTATTTTTATAAGTATTTCATAATGTAAATAACTTAATTTATATATGTTTTTTTAAATAATATAATAATTATTAAAAACTTTTAAAAAAAAATTCATACTTACGATTTCGGTATTTTCTATAAGCCCATAATATTTGTGATAAATACTCTATTTAAAAATATTATAAATATTATTTTAAAAGAAAATTATATCATGGCTACTTTAATTAATTTAAATCATAAAATCTTCTTTTGATTATTATAAAGAATGAACGAATAGAATATGCTGACGGCTTTTACCTTTTGTGGTATTGTTATAACAAACATATTATACAACTTTTTTTTGTAATATATATTATTCTACATTAATAAAATTATAACAAATAATAATTAACAAATAAATTAACTAATTAATTAATAATAATTATTATTATTAATAATTAATTATTTATTATTTATTAAGACATTTATATAAGAACTCCTTTGATTTCTTATAGATACAATAAATCATAACATTTTTCTTAAAACACGGTAAATTATTATTGTGACTAAAATTATTTTTCAATTTCATAATACTCAATTAAATATAGTATCTTATATATAGTAAATAATTCTTTATGGTTTCATAAATTATATTATATCATTAATTGAATAAAATTATATAATTTATTTGCTTTTATTAAGTATTAAAATTTCAGCATCACAAGATATAATTGTGAATCAATTTACATCGATCCTATTTATTAAACTATTTATTACTATTTCGTAGTAATCTACATAAGTTTTAATTTATAAAAATAGATATAGATTTTACTATTTAAAATTAGTACTGAAAAACTAAATACAAAAATATACTTCAATATAAAGAATAATTATATATTAACTAGTAATATTCAAAACAATTCAATTGTTTTAAACTGCGGTATAGTTAAAAAATACTTATAATTATCGAATATTATTCTTTTAAAAATGTTTTATTAATATTAAAAATGATCTATTATAAATTTATAAAAATTTATGTTTTTAATTATGAAAAAAATTGAAAGCGTGAATCATAATTATTTTGATTTATAAAAATCTTTAAAATTTTACCTCAATTTTATTATATATATATTTTATAATCTCATAAATATTAAAGTAATAATATTATTTTAAAAAATGACTTTTTGTATCATTTGTTCAATTCAATTTCATCTAAATTTTACTAATTAATTATATTTTTCACAAATAATGTACAGACAATATATATAACGAATATATAGATTAATATAAGTAATATTATTTAAAAATAGGACTTCTAAATAAATAAATTAAAATCCTTTACAATTCTGTCTATTTTACAAATTTATAATTTAATGATAAATATATGATCATATATATTTCAAATGTAGATAGATAAATGATATAAAAAATGTGCTTTCTTAAGATAGTAATAAAATAGTTTTTTAAGGCGATCCTACAACATTTGGTAATTTAAAACCAGCAAAAGTAATGATAGAAGCTATGAAAGAGAGTATCGAGTCTCAATTATATAATGGTTACGCACCCAGCACAGGTATGTAAAATATCGAATATGTACATATTCACTAAATAAATTGTAGAAAGCTAAGCAAAAATGAAATAGAATATTTATTCATAAATCTAAAAATACAATTAAATTATTTATTTAGTTTGAAATAGTAATATTTTTATTATATTTAGGATTTGAAGAGGCAAGGCGAGCAGTAGCAGAATACAGTTCTAATGACAATGTTACAGTAGATGTGAAAGTAAGTTGTTTTTATATTTATATTAAAATTCAGTTATAAACAATAAAACACTATGATTTTAAAAATATTTTTGATAAATTAAAAAAAATGAAACATAATCAATTATATACCTACAAACTTCTTCGTTATTATAATTCATTTAAATGTGTTTGTGTATTGTAAATTGAATATTACTGTTTTGTACTTAATCAAATATTTTATTTATTTTTATTCACTAATTTCTTTCAGTAACTCCATATTCTTTTATTATTATTTTATTTTTCGCTTACTATTAATTGATTTACATTATATTATATATTTGATATACGAATAATTCATTAACAAATTTTACAAGCAAATTTCAAATTATTTGGAATAAGACAATGTTTTATTAAAGCATATATATTAATATTCCTATTATATATTTATATAATAATATATTGTTATATTATAGTATTCATTCTAAAATGCAAAATATCTTAGTAATAATCGCTTATTTCTATGAACACATAGCTATAATTAACAATATTACATTTATTTTGATTTATTATACAATTGTTATTATAATAATTTTCATTTCTGCTAATTGCACTAATAACTTTATACATAGTAATTTTTAATTGAATATTTCTACATTATCGATTAATATCAATTTTATCTTAAACTTTTATGAAATGTTACAGTATTATTCAGACGAATAATTTATAGTTTTAAAATTTTATTCATAGATGTGGTTTTGAAATGGCCTTATTTCTATTAATTGTTAAAATTTTAGTGAAATATAAGTATAATATAAAGTTCTATTAAAATATATAATTTCAATCGATTTCGTTTTTTTTATAATTAGTACAAATCAATTTATATTTTATTATACAAGTTTAAAGTATTATTCTCCAGTTCCAGTAAATTTCCTATATATTCTCTATGTTTTATACGCTTACAGCATATTTTTTACAATTTCAAATTTACTTATTTTCATTATCATTAACTTATTGTCAATTAGCTTAGTATTTTAGTTTATTTTTAATTAACAGAAAATTAATTAATAGAATTTTATTTTTATGATATTATTAAATCAAATATAGTTAGGTTTTATAATTTTCGAAACATACACTTTATGTTTTCGTATTCTTTGCCTTAATTTTATATAATTCCCGTATTTACATATATTTAAATGTTTGTTTTTGTATGTATATATATATATATATAATCTACCTATTTGTTTGTAAAAGTTTATAATATTATTATAATATGTAACTTGCTTCGAATTAGATTTTCTTAAGGCTAATTATTTGTAAAACTAAATATATAAATTAACTTTTTTTTATCAATCAAAGCTCTTTATTGTTTTTGATAAGAATCTATTAATGCAGAGAAAATAAACAAGTTATGATTTAGTATTAGCTCCGATGTAGCTCAATGTTGTTATCAACCGACAAATTCATAGTTCCTTTTCCTGACACTAATAAATTTTGTTGTATTTCGTAAAAATACACGCGTCGAATTCAAAAGTGTATATAAAGTAATTTAATATACTATTTTATGTCGATAGTTGTTCTTTATCTACCTCGTCAGTCTCGTAAATTTTTTTTCTAAATCAAAACACTCTTTAATGAACTCATCCAAATTCTTGATGACGTAGTGTGAAGTGCGGTTTCAGATCTTTCAGATTTCTTAATGATATATTTATATTTATGATTAATATATAAAATTATGAGATAAAATAGTTAAAAAATGTTTTTTGCTAAAAATAATATATATTAAGAATGAAATCAATATTAAATAATAAATGAAGCAAATAGTATAAGTATAATGTTCAGGATATAACTGCATATTAACTTTATGTGTAATTACTTTTTAAATATTTACAAAATTTTCACCAATTTGTGATTAAAAATATTATTTGTAAGTACTTTTATTTGATATATTATAATATATAATTATTATATTATAATTTAAATTACAGTTAAATATTTAAAATATAAATTAAAAAGTATACTTAAAAAACTTTGTATAAAATAATTCTTATGTAGTAATATGAATTTTTAGGAACTGTTTGGAATTCCAGCCACCCGGTGGTCAGGAGACCAAGGTGGTTGGGTTAAAACATACCTCGGTTTTACTGGTGGAAAGGGGGGGGGGGGGAGAGGTTAATGCATCAATTCAGTGTAAGCACAATTGGTTTTCGTGACTTTTATTTAAGGTTAAGTTATAATTGATCTATGTTTCACCGGTAATTGTAAGTATTGTTGAGCTCGTCGTGTGATCCTGACAGTTGGCAGAGAAACTACAGGACGTCGTCCAGGTGTGCAAGGTGAGACTGATCTTATCTGCGAGCGTGTGACAAGTCGTATCGCCCTTGTAACAGTATTACGGAAATTTCTCTCTCTGTAGGCGTGTTATTAGTAGCTGCGCCTCTCCTCATTAGATATGAGAATTAGGTTTAATGAAGGCGCGTGGCCAATGGCGGAGCTAGATAGATTGTGATAGATTATGGTACTAGGTAGATTGTGAGCAATTGCGTCAGGTAGGTAAATGATAATTATCCATGCTAGAGGCTAATGGCGGCACCTTCGTAGCAGTCTGAATAAAATTCGAAGTCGCTGAAGGCTTACCGCGAGCAATTTGCGCCTGGTGTCAATAATAGTAATTATCTTTCTGGCGGCGCAAGTCAATGACGACGCCCTCGTAACGGTCTGATGAGAATCAAGTTGCAGAGAGCTTACCGCGAGCATATGTGCCTGCTAGCAATCAGATGGTAATTAATTACGAGAGACGCACCACAAATGGCGGCGCCCTTTTAGCGGTCTTATGAGAATCGAGTTGCAGAGGGCTCACCGCGAGCGATTTGCGCCGGATTGCAATAGGTTGATAATTAATGAATGGCGTACCTTGCACGGATCCCCGTAGACAGACGTGTAGACCTTCGCTTAGATGTGACTTGCACTATTTCTTCAAGACTCACTGAACAAGACTGATTTGCTTCGACGCGCGCTGCCCTTAATATATGCAAGCGCTTGTCGTTGAGCCTGGCGGTAATACCTTAGTGTTGCTATGCTGAAAATTCCCGCGTGCCGTTTGATTTTCAGTTCCAGAAATTTCTGTCTATTGTCGAAAGGCAAGTCTTTGCCGATTGGAGACTTCTCCGTAGTTGTTATGCGGATAAATTGCAGGACTTTCTTAGGCAAAGGCTTTAAAATTTACCGAGAATTTATGTAGCGAATTTTTATGACATTACAAGTTATAATGATTTCAATTTTGTGGAAATTGAAATTTTGCTGTTTGGCGCTCCAATCCTAAACAAAGACGGTACTTCTTTTCTTTAAAAATAAATACACAATTTAATTGGACGAATTTTTTATTTAATTTTAAATACAATATTATTTCAAAGTGTATTTATGTTTCATTTTATCCTAGTTGACAAGCTTCCATAGGAACTCAGTTATATATCGCATTCCTGAACGAATGTAAATGATTTGTAGGATGTTGTGCTGTGTAGTGGATGCTCGTGTGCCCTTGATCTTTGCATCACGGCATTGGCTCGTGAAGGACAAAACATCCTGATTCCTCGACCCGGTTTTTCAATTTATCAAACACTTGCTGAGGCACTTGGTATTACCGTGAAATTTTACAAGCTTTCCGTGAGTAAATTGTAAATAAAAATCTATTATTTGGAAGAGAAACAATTGAGACTTCCCATTTTCATGTGAATGATCCTTAATATATTGTTTTTCGAATTATAAAACTATTATAATAAAGACAGATATGAATCTTTGCTTATTAATATTAATTTTGAATTTAGCCAGAATTGGACTGGAAAATTGATCTGGACGATTTGGAAACACAAATTGATGCATCTACAGCAGCAATCGTCATTAATAATCCTTCAAATCCTTGCGGTTCAGTTTTCAGTCGTCAACATCTATTAGATATTTTGGAAATCGCTTTCAAATACTACGTTCCAATAATCGCTGATGAAATTTATGAATATATGGTAAATCTTTATTGGATTAATTTATTCAAAATTAATATCAAGGATATTAAGTTATTTTATATTATTTGAAAATATTTTTTCTTTTTACAAATTGAGAGTAATTCGTAAAAATTTTTAATTTCATAAAGTAATTTTTCATTATAATAAAATTGTAAATAACTGTCAATAATAAAAAATTGCTTATTATGCATTTAAATATTATTAATAAATCAGATCTTATGTTTATATATTTAAAAAAAACATAGGATTATCACTAAAAGTAAATAAAAACATGAATAGATTATTTGTGTTTTAATTTAAAAATATGTTAAAAATAATAATTACAATAATAATTAAATAATACTTTATTTTTAATTTGGCTTATTTATTATATTATGAAATAGAATTATTAGTTTGTTTCAATTTTTTTTTGAATTTTTACTAATATAAAAGTTCAAAAAGATGTATTATATATGATAGTATATGCATTTAATTACAGAAAATTCATAAAATACGAGTAGGATATAAATAAGTATAGTATATATATTTATATAATTGATAAAAAGCGGATCTGACTGTAAATGAAATATACATGAATATAAGTTAGCTTTTCTTCAATAAAAATAATATATTTAGTAGTAAGCATTTGTGGACGATTTTCAGAATTACAGTAATTTTAACTTTTTTCATTGAATTTTTAGTTTACATAAAATGGTATACAATATTGTAAGAAATCTCGATCAAATTGATTATATAAATCAATTAATTTTATCAACCGTGTATGATTTGTAATATTAGAATAATATAAAAAAACTGTGAGAAAAGGCAATTTACAGATTTTTTATATTATTTTATATTATAGGGACAAGTTTTATAATTTCTACTTCTAGAGGATATATTTTTTGACGGTGCGTAATTTATTCGTTATTTTTTCATTATCAATTGAAACCTTTGCATAGGATTTAAATACGAATAAATCTTTAAATAGATTTGACAGAGTAATTACCATGTTAATAGATATATTATTTATTTACTTTGAACAGGTATTTCTTGGGCATACATACCATTCCTTGGCATCTTTATCAACGCAAGTACCTATTTTATCTTGCAGTGGATTGACGAAAAGGTACATAATTAATTTTATTATTCCATAAGAAATATTATTTTAATAATTTTGTTTGTAACTATTAATTACATTTTCAATAATTATTTTAATTATGATTTATAAAAGTTTATAGTTAATATACATTCTTTTAAAAAATTGAACAAATGTCGTATAATACATACATTTTTTATTATCTGCTATACAGTACAAATTAAATTTTCCTATTATTAATTAATTATAAATTTAATATCGTATAGCAAGTATTGAATTTTATTGTATGTGCATTCATTTATATTTTTAAAATTAATTTTTTTAGTAAATTTTTAGAATTTTGATTTTTTCTATTATTTTTCTAATTTTAATCCAAAAATATTGAAACAAACCTATTTATATATTTTTAAAACAACTTAGAATATATATATTGAATTTATTAATATTTTTGTTGAGCAATAAAAATATTAGAATGATATAAAATATTCACTTTTTAAAGTTTTTATAAGTATATATTATCTTAAACAATATAAATTAATAACTTCATGTTAAATGTGCAATAAACATTATTTATTTGGCTTTTATACTTAATATTATTCAATTATACATATATAATTATTAATAATAATTTGAATTAGTTCATCAGATAATGAAATTTTATTTTTTAAATAATTTTATAAACATATACAAATATAAAGTAAAATATAAAGTATACAAAAATCTATCAAAAATGTAATAATATTTTGGAGATTGTATAAGTAATAAAAACAATTAGTAAAAAGTTCTTAAGTAAAAGAGGTAACATTGTTCAAAGTTAATGTTTTATTATAATACATTAGAATTATGTAAAATATTCAAAATAATTTAATGAATAATTTGCTGAAAGATATATAATCAATTTAATTTCAACTCGTATCAAACTTATTATTTAGCAAGTATATTAGAAGATTCATGTTCTCGTAATTATAAAAATATATGAGCACATTTTAAATGTTGATTATTAATAATTATTCTTATTAATAAAATATTAATTCTTAATATTAACCAAATGCATTCAATATATCAGGCAAAATTTTATATATGTCTGAAGCAAGTAAATAAGATTAACTTAGAGAGATATTTTTATAAGAGAGTAATTATTACAATTCAGATCCAATATTGTTTTATTTGTCTCTACTGAGACTATATCAAATATCAAAAAATATTGGGCCTTCTAAGTTCACTGATATTGTTTTATGCTAACTAAGATGCATAGCCTATTCTGTTTATATAATTGATTATCAATCGGCATTACGGCAAGGAATTATATAATTTGAATTACTCAAATACCTATAATTCATATTATTGTAATTCTGGACTGTCCTTCTATGTGTTGTACCTCATTATATTACTTTCTAACTCATTTATAAAAATACATAAGTGTATGCGTGCTCTTACGAGATATTGACTTGTCTCGCTCTATTGCTATTTTTCAAATATATATATATATATATTTAGTGCATAATTAATAATAAATACATAATTATAGTATAAATTAACTTAAGTGATCTTTTTAAATTTACTATTTAATTATTTAATCGTTTAGGATAAATAAAAGTGAAAGATTTTAAAAATATTTCTAAACATAGACAATATGAAAAAACAAGTTCATAAAAATTATATCATCTTAAATCTTAACGAAAAATTAATAAATGAATGATATACTGTTCTATGATTTAGCATATCAATATTTTAATATAAGATTTAAATTTTTTAACTGCATACAAAAATGATTATTGCAATAAAATTTGTTACAAAATAATTTAATGAACCGGCATGTACAAAAATGAAATCTATTGTGACCGACTTGTGCACTTGGGCTCGCTGCTTGCTACTATCTTACTTGAATGGTTCTCAAACAGTATTATATTATATCACAGCGTTGTTGATTTCTTCTTCCAACTCCTTTTCTGGTCGGCGATCTACTTAAAATTTCCAGTTTGTCAGCATGTTCCCCTGTGGTGGCTCTGGTAATAGCTTGTTGAATACGCACACGAAGGTGAAGGCGTGTTCATTATGTGGCGGCTCTGCTTAGAGAGTGAAAGCAACTGTTCCATGGCGATCCTGCTAAGACAAACCGTGTTCCGTGCCATGGCGTTGTCATTAAGAGAGAGAGAGAGTGAGAGTCGTTGCGTGCTTGCTTTATATATGTACTTAACAGTTCAGTTAGCTGGCAACAATGGACAGTTGTTGCTATGCGGAAAAAATTGCAGGACGTTCGAGAGTAAAGCTTTAAAAGTTTCTAGGCTTCCGGGAAAGCAAAGCTTTAGAAGGTTGGAGAATTCCAACCGACGTTGCTATACGGATACCAGATAAATATTGTAAAACGTTCGAAGGTATTTGAGAATTCTCGAAATCAAACGTTTACAAAATTCGAGAGCTAGAAGGATTATAAATTTCCAAGATCCAAAGGTCTTGGAAAGTGCTCCAACCCTGGACAATATTGCTGTAATTCATTTTTAAAAATACATTATTTTCAACTGCTCAAACTCTAAGTGCATATAATGTATGAGATAATATAAATTATAGACATGAACATTTATAAACTTATCTTGAAATTTTACTCAACAAAATTAAATTATGTTCTCTAAATGTGGAAGCACTTTTAATATATTTCAAATTTTAATATTTTGAACTATCTCAAATATAACGGAATTGTTGATATAAATGAAATCTTAGCGCCCATTTTTTTAATTTATATTTCTGTTTCTAAATTTATTTAAATGAAATGAAAAATAAATATATACATAATACAGTATAGATTTATTTATTTTTAATAAATTCAAAATTTACATGAATTTTTTTTCACTTTCACGTTAAATTCAACTTTAAATGATTTTGTCGGTTGTATTTCAAATATATAATTGTAAATATGCAGCAGTAATTTATTCATTTTCAGATTTTTAGTACCAGGTTGGAGAATGGGATGGATTATCATTCACGATCGTCAAAATATATTAGATAAAGAAGTAAGTATACAGAGTAATTCGTGTCTAAATCGATATTTCGTTGAAATATTATTGAATATTAAAACTAAAATTTAGACAAGATCATGGTTAATCTTTAGATTTTTAGAATGTAATGTAAAAAATAAAAATATATTTTGTTTGTGATTATCTAATTTCTTTTTAAATGTATAACTATCGTTTTCGTAGTTTTTTACAAAAAATAAACTTGTATTTATTTTATAATATTTTTCAAATAAAATTTTAAACGAAATTAAATTTATGCTTATATTTTTTCATTTTTTATGACAAAATAGAATTTATAAATATAACATTTTATGAATATAATATTATATCGACAATATAGTTTTATTGTTAAAATATTTATTGAATGATATCAAAAATTTGAATTCATATAGAAGATATTATTTCATCCTAATATTTTTATTATGTAATTCTATAATCACATTCAATCATGAAATTATTTTATTTTCAATAGCTATTAAAATATATACTATTTTAATATTAAATTTTCTTATGTTAAATTATCGTTTTCGTTATTGTTCTAGAGATAATAAGTAAATTTTAATTCAACAAATTCGTGTTTTAAACTCTTACCAAATAGTAAATGAATTATAGTAATATATTAATTTATAGAAAATAATGTTTATTTTGAAGAACTCAGCAATTTGTATATTTGTAGATCAGGAAAGCATTACAGTGTTTAAGTCAACGAATAATCGGTAGTAATACGATCGTTCAAGGCGCCCTTTCAAAAATACTTAAAGAAACTCCACAAAAGTTTTTTGATAATATTATGCAAACTTTACATGTAAGTTCTAAATTTTTAAATATATAATAGTCGTTTAAAAGAGTATAATAGAAAGTATTACCCATACATGCAATACTCTACAAATACTTACGTAAATTGTACGATTTGATCAATAATTTACATTTGCAGTTACAGACTACTTCGTATGTTTACTAAGCTTAAAAAATAATTTTATTTTACATATATCAATCTTTTAATTGATTTATAGATTACAACATTTAGAAAAAAAAATTTAATTGTAACATAGAAAATTTGAAGACGCTATATTAATTCAATTAATGAATATTTAATATTCACTTTTAAAACAATTTTATTGTATTATATTTCAGTTATACATGTTAATCCTATATATATAAAATACCTATTTTATTGCATTCTTATAAATCAAACTTCAACTTCTATAATCAATTCAGCGGAAGTAAATTATTAATTAATATATTTTATTAATTTAAAAAAGTGTACAATTATGAATTATAGGATTAAATCACGACATATAATCAATTCATATATATTGTATATAATTCATATGTTTTCAAAATTTCAAACAAAATTTCAAAAAATTAAAAATTTTATATTTAAAAATTTTGGAACAAGAAAATTTTGAGCAATTTTTAATAACTTTGATATGTTTGGAACAATTTTGAATTTAGAAAAAGGAATATAGTTTCTGAGGAATTACTGTTGTTATTAATTATTATTATTTATTTTTACAAAAGTTACAAATTTATTTGTGCAAAGTACGTTATATACTATGCAAAATATTTCTTGAATTCTAATTTAATGAAATTTAGTTTGCATGTTATTTTATTTTAATCTATATAGATGTATTTTATTATCTGATTTCTATAATAATTATATATTAATTCTAATTACATGATTTACTTAAATTGTCATTGGTTCTTTTTAAAGCCTAGAGCTTCATTAACTCATAATTGAAAAATTATTTAACTAATTAATTAAACAAATTAAAATCGATTAACTAGGTTATAGTTCAATAAAATTACAAAAAAAACCAATCAAAACTAATTAATGAATAGCTTTTAACCAATTCTTCATTTTAAAGATTAGAATACAAATTTAAGTAAAGTATATTGCAAATATATTTTAGTTTTTTAATATTCCTATTTCAAATTTTATTTGTATTTAAATATTTATTATATATTTTATGACTTTAGAGAATTCTTAAAATTGATTAGTTAATAGTATTATAATTACGAGTTGAACTTGCTTAGATACAGACGGTTCCTTCTAATTTATCTTTTTCAAAGTTCTAATTCTAATTGATTAAAGGTATTTTAATACTGAACATATTACTAAACTACATTCTTTTAAATACATTTCATTGTGATATTAAAAATTGTAATATATTATCAACAGGCTCATGCTAGACTTACTTACAATTACATCTCTAAAATACCAGGATTGACACCTATTATGCCGCACGGTGCAATGTATATGATGGTAAGTTATAGATATTTATTATTAAATTAATTTAATTTTAATTTTTCGTAAATTACTATTCTTATATTGGAACATTTTGATATAATTAAATTACATTTAATTTGGAAAGGAATATCTTTTAGAAGTGATGGAAAGCATCTTAAAAAATGAGTAAACAAAAGGTTGTTTAATAAAAACCTGCTTATATAATAAAATCATTGAAACTCTCATAGGTACACATCGATCTGCCAAGCTTTCCACAGTTCAATACTGAAATCGAGTTTATTGAAAGACTCTTATCAGAAGAATCCGTTTTCTGTTTACCCGGACAGGTAATTTTTTCGGTGATTTTTTTTTCATTTTTGGTATTATTAGTGTTTATACATTTAACAAATAAAAATAAAAATATGATTATGAAAAATATTCTTTTATGATAAAAATTTCAATATTTTATTTATTTTTGCATGTTTATATAACATGAAATGTTCGTTTGAAACAAATTTTGTAAATGATTCAATTATTGTAAATTAAAATTTTTTTAAAAATTTAAAATTAAATATAATCTTTTAAAAGTCAATATTATTGTTGCTAGGTAACAGTAATGTGCATATTTTACATACAAAATTTCTAATTCCTTTAAAAAATCTATATTAATTTAAAAGTAATTATTGTTTTTCCTGGTTATCACACTTCCATTTTACAAGAATTAAATTTTTTATTCTTTTTATAATTCAACCCCCATAAATACATCTTATTTCATAGCTTAATTCATACCATATTTTAATTTATTAAAAATGTCTTTTATATTATACATACATTAAAATTATGAATCATTTATTATATAAAATAACTTCTTGTCTATAAAAATTCTTATATATTAATGTGATAATGTTGTAAATAAAAAATTATAATAGATATAGAACTATACCATATATTTAATATAAAATCATCAAAAAGTTCACATATAAAATTTAGATAAAAAAAATAATAAATATTGTAATTCTAGTTGATCAAAATAAAGAATTACGAACACTAATGAATTCATTTTGATTATTAAAAAATTAATAAAAAATAATAGTATCAAAAATGAAAAATTATTATTTAAAATTTAGAAATTATTATATATAAAATAAAATGATTTTTATTTTTCTGTTACAGTGCTTTAGTTACCCCTCTTATATACGGTTAGTAATAACAGTACCTCAACAACTACTCAAGGAAGCTTGCATAAGAATTCAGGGGTTTTGTATAAAGTATCACATACAAAATAACTCAACAGATTCTGTTAATAATATTAACATTCTTTATTAAATATTTTATTTTATATATTTATTATTAGTAAATATATAATAAATTCATTTGTCTAAATTTAAAACATTATTTTTTATAAAATACTTAACAATTGTTTAGAAATATTTATAACCAATATATAATTTAAATATTAACCATAAGTGGTTATTGTCCGTAATAAATATGTTTGAATGTATGATATACACATAAAGATAATCAAATTATAAGTTGTTTAAGATTTAAAGATTATAAATTACCTATGAATACATATTTATAATTAAAAAGATTTTAATTATTACTATTATCTATAACAATAATTTAATACGTGATAATTGATATTCATAGAAAGATAGATAGATATAAAATTATATAGTAATAATTGTAGTTCTTATATTATCGATACATACTAAACAATAGTGATATGAATAAATAAAAACAGATATCTATTTCATCTCATTTAATTAATTGTAATATCATTAAATCTCAATTAATTTCATAATTCAATTTAGTAAAATATTAAAAATCTTAATATTTTTAAACTACGAAACAGGAAAAAATGCAAAACTATTCGTATTTTAATCGTATTTTAGTAATTAATTGAGATAAAATAGATAATAATTTGTGTACACAAAACTTTTATTGATTGATAATTTTACTGTTTACAATAGAACAATAATATAAGAACGTCAATTTATTCTGGGGAAAAACAATTGAAATTATTTAACTATAACACCGTTTTAATTGAATACAATTTACAACATATATAATTACACATATACAGCATATACAATAATATTAGGAAAAATAATAAATTTTATTATAAATAAATGCACATAATTTTATAGTCACGAACAATCCTGAATAAGATACAATTTTTAATAATAATAGGATAAATTATTTACTGTAAATAAGATTGCATTTATTTATACCTGGTTACATCAAGTACTTTTCATTTGATTAAATATGATATTTTATATTTTTAATATAAAAAATTCTATTAAATTTACGTAATTTCTTTATGAAACAGTAGTGTTATAAATAAATGCAGATACAATTCATTTTATTTTATGCACATTTAACTTGATGCACGTTCTAAAATTTGTTAACATTTTTATTTAGTTTTCAGAATATATATCATACTTATTTACATTAAATTAAGATAAAATAACCAAAATGCCTTAAATTTCAAATAAGTATGTTAATAAAATTATTTTAAATGTAATCAAACGTTATTAATGTAATAAATATTTAACTAATTATGATAAATTAAAAAACGTAGCATTTGCAATAAATATAGTAACAAAAACATTTTTTTTAATATTAAGAAACAAATATAAAACAAATTCACATAAGTAGAAAATTATAGTTTTAATAAATATTTAGAATATTTTTTTTTACAATTTTTAATTTATTTAATATAGATTAATGTAAATTTATCAAATAAGATAGCGACAGGATATTTTATAAGAGGAATTTATTAGGTTTTTCTATAATAAGTATAAAAAATTTGGCATAAGTAGACAAGTATTTAAAAATAGATGGTTTAACAAAAATTTAATTTAAAGAGTAAATTGAAAAAGTTTAATATTTTAAATTAAAAGAAATTTTATGAATTATTTTAATATTTGTATTAATATTGATTATATTAGAAAATTATTATTAAAACACGTTAAATAAAAATAGAAAAGTTTTTGATTAAATATAATTTTTAAACAATTTTAAAAACATGTATAATTTACAGTTAAATTAGAAATTAATTAAGAGTTATTCAATATTGCTTTCGTATAACATTACCTTAAACCAATTTTAATCAGTAAAAAATCAAAAAATTGTTAAGTATGAAAAAATAAATTATAGATTTCTCCATATAAATTTATTGAACAAGTAGGAAATCGTCAAAATAGTCAAAAGAAGTAAAATGAAGTAGATCGAGAAACTTTGAGCCGCATGGTATGGAGTTCTATATATATATAGATCTATATATCTAGCGGGCGAGCAAGGGCTGATAGCATGCTACTTCTTTTCCTAATTATTGCAACTATGTGTGCGCACGCTTGATCGCGTCGTTTAGTTGGTGGGGGTTATACGGCATTGGCTTTACAGGGGAGTGAGTAGGGGGAGCGTACGGTGAACGGAATGGCTTTAAAAAGAGTAAAAGAGATAAGAATATATTGTCCAGGGAAGATAAATAAAGACAGAGAAAAGGTGAGACTCCATGAACGGTCTGGAAGGCCTACTAAGATAGTGGTCTGCGCCCCATTGCTGCAACAACTTTAGTATTTGTCGCCAACTCCGTTTGATTCTCAGCATCACGAATCATAGAAGAAGAAAGAAGAAAAATACATGTTGCCTATCGACCGAGCGTGCGTTAGAGGTGGAGGACCAGACGCCCCGTTCAAGTTATCGTATCATGATTTACACACTATAAGCGTTTAGCTTTCCGTCCGTTCTCTCATTTGCTGTGATATGTGTAAATGTGTAAAAGTGACATTTTATTTAGGAAGTGTTGTGTATTTAAACCATCAATAAAATTTTGAATTCGAACGCCTTTGTTGCTTTGAACAAATGTGATTAAGAGTAATATGCAAAGTATCGTGACAGACTGACTTTTTACATTATAGCGGTGTTTTGGCTTTGTTTTTATGTTATTTTGGTTTGCATTCGAGGATGCGGGACTGAACATGTAATAATTATAGTAAAGCGATAATGCGTACTGAGGTTATCGATGGCCTTTGTCGTTTACTCTAATACGAATATCCAATGAGAATAGGATTTTATTAAATAAACATATTTATTAAATAAACATTGCTCTATACACTTTTTGAACAGTTGATCAGATTGTTTTTTGCTTACTAATTTATTTTGAAATTTGTATAACAGAAACATTAACAAGTAGAAAAATAGTGGGTGACGAAAGAAGCTGCGTCGAAGAAATAAAGGTACAATCGTTTTATTGAATTTTTAAAAACATCTATAATTATGAAAAGCTTTAATATTCTGTAATACAAGATATAATTTTATTTTAAGTGATTTATTAGTATAAAACAAATTTATATTTTTAAAAGAAAACAAATTATTATCAACCTATAGTTTCAATTATAAGCTTGATATTATTTTAGATATAATACATCTAAATAGTTATTTTTATATTTTAACATAAATTACTATAATGTACATTAATCCAGTTTGAAAACAAAGATTGCTAATGTTTATTAGATTCTTTTTAACAATGAATTTCAGAAACTATTTAAATAAATATTGATTAAACAATATTCAGTAATCATCCATCATGAGTGTGTTATAAAATTTAATAAAGAAATCATTTTCATGAAATATATTAATATATTTAATTTTTTATACGGCGAACAATGAGTTATTTAAAGGTTCGAACAAATACGATATAATTGATAATTTAAAAATATGAAATTAATAATGAACATTTTTCAAAAGCTATAAAAACGCATGCATGCATATATGCATACCAAAAACGAGTTGATTACAGTTAAAAAATAAAAAATGACTGACAGATATATATGTATTTTTAATAATTGGATAAAGTTATTTCGACAATTATTTTTATCTACATCGTCATGAGTATGTATAATGGCATTTGAACTCCTTGAGTATTCTGTTACAATCCAATCAGGTTATTGATTTTATCCAACATAAAGATAGAGGCGACAAATCAGGTTATACAGTACTATTTCTTCAGTAAATATTTTAATTTTTGCTTTTAATTTTTCGCCTTTTATTATTTTATTTATCTGTTTTTTTTAGAATAAAATTTATATTGTTTTGTTCCAAATGACCGAGAGAGTTTGCGCATTTCTATATTTTTTTCCTTACCTTCTTTTTCGTCATCTTTTTTTTTTATCAGATAAAATATGCTTCCCTTTCAAATAAAATTACAATAAAATAATTATTTTTTTTGTAACTTGTTTATTTGTTTTTCAATTATTTAATTACTAAGCCATCTATTTCAATTTACATATAAATAATATTTTTAATTTTATAATTAATGTATACTCATTTAAGGCAATACTATATCACTTATAAACAAAAAGTATTGCTTTTTTATTTACAAATAAAAAAAATACTATAGTATAATAGTATTGAATAATCAAAGTGAATTTTTTTCATTTTATAAAATATATGTACAAATGATATTTTTATATTTATAAAAATTTGATAAATCTTAATATAAATCTAAAAAAAATTCAATTTTTTAAACATGAATGCCAATTCGATTTTGAAAAAAGGAATATTTTTTTTTAATTTTTTTTTATTATTTTTAATCTATTTTTTAAAGACCAAAAAATACAATAAATAAAATATTCATATGAATATTTGTACAAACGAAAATATTTATTAAATATATTGTTTTAACATTCTGTTATAATAATACTGAAAAATCAATAATGTTCAAATTCTTCATACTAGACAAATTTTTTTATTTAACTGAAAGTTAATCAATTATTCAAATATTCTATTTTTTAATGTAAGCATAAAGAATTTATGTATGTAGCATTCTGACAATTTCTTTAAACATAAAATAAAAATTTAAAACTACAAATATTAAAAATTTCTCGAATAAGGATCACCGGCTTTTCATTTTTAGTTGACATTATACCCTAGGTTATTTAGTTACATTAACAAGTTTAGTTTAGTTTATTAATTAACAAGTTTATCATTTGAATAACAAAATTCTTGTGATTACATAATTTCAATCATTTTTATCTTTTACATTTAGCTGTTTAATAAATATGAAGACATCGACATATTTTTTTTAACTATTTTGGTGTATATGCAAATAAATTACTGTTTATGATCAATTTTCTTGTAAGCATACTACTTTGAACTCATTTTATATAAAGTGTTTACACGAATATAAAATATACTAATTATAATTACTGAATTGGACTCCGAAATTATGAGAATATTCAAGGCTATTAATAGAAAAAATTTTAAATACATATGTTTCAGTTTATTTAAACGTCATTGTATTAGAATAACTATTATAATAAATATAATGTTTATCGGGATTAGTAAATTTGTATTAATTGAATATAAATATTAATTAATAGGCAATAGAACTCATAGTAATCATTTAAATATTTTTTTAAATACCATTTTTATAATAAGGTTTAAGTTATTCAAAATATGTAACTTACATCGGACAGTATTGGTGTAAAAACTTGTGATTGAACAATACTTGTTCAATAAAAGAAAAAATTAATTTGGTTTAAAAAAATAATTTTAATCGATAATGCTTTTTTACATTTCATTCTATTTATGTAATGTATATGATTTATACAATTTTTTATAATAATAATTCCATGGTAGAAGATCAAATATTACCCAGTGTATTAATAAATATATTCATATACTCCCTTATTCATATAGATTAATAAACTTGTGTAATATAGTGTATATATATATCAAAAAGTCAAATTAACTCAATAAAAATATATTTTGATTAATTAAAGCATTGGTATTATAGACTAATAAACATTTTTCTTATTTATAACAAATTAGTATTAGTTTTACAGAAAAATAAACAAAACAAAATAAAAATATATAGAGTTACAGTTTAATTTATATAGTCAATAGTTAAAAAGGTAAAAATAATTCAAAAATAAATAAAACAGAAACTGCTTTAGACATGTTCAAAAAAATAAAATATTTTAAAAAATTTTTGAACATAAGTACAAAGGTATAACGCCTGTGTAATGTAAATTGGAAATAGAGTTTTAATAGTGAATTGATTAGGAAGAAGCAGAGTAGTATTAAAAATAATGACAGCCAAGTAAGTTAACATCAATTAATAAAGAAAAATAAAATATTAAAGGTAAAAGGAACGAATTTTTTGATATATTGAATATTATCAACAAGTTTAATTGGTATTAGGTATATAATAAATTTAAAAAAAAATTGGCAAAAAAGAAAATAAATGCGAATTAAGACCGATGAACAAAATAATAAAATTATTATAATAAATACACTCATAATAAAGATGTGAATTTTTTCATTTCTTAAATTTTTTAAACACTTGTACGTTTCACTTGACTGGCATATATATTATAAAAAGTATTCCGCCCTTCATCAAGAATTTATAGTCATGCTATCTATATAAAACTTTGTAAAGAAAATTAATTTATTACAAAAAATTTGAGAATAGAAAAATAAATAAAAAATAAAAAATTAATTAATTTTTTACTAAGTCGATTTTTTCCGTTACATGTACTTTGGATTAATGACTTTTTTATAATCTAGAAAAAAAATTTGACGCTAATTTAATGTTGTGGAAAATTTATTTCAATATAAATAAAAAACTTTAATTTGTTAATAAAGGTAATCAATTCAGTATAACATATTTTATTAAGTAAGTTAATATATATCTATTTAAATAATATAACTATTATTTTTATAGATCCTTCAGTTTTTAAAAATATTTTCATTAACTAATATATCTAATTATCTATTCTTTTTAATATTTGTGTTTAATTTGATCTTGAAAAGTCCATTATTTAAAAACTGAATTTATATATAATTATTCACATTTATACTTCAATTTAATTGGCTGAATTGTTGTTCACTTAAATTGTCTTGAATTCAAATGAATGAAAAATTCTATAAATTACATGATGAATGTACTTTTCAATGATAATCATTATTTTATTTTCATTAAAATGTACGGTAAATACTTTTTTTTACAGAAATTCAACATGTATAATATAATCATTGCGCGCTACAAGCACATAATCGTCGCTATAATACAAGTTTAAGTAAGTAGTGATAACATGGCGGTATAAGAGGTGCGTATCGCACATCTTAGTTCATTTCTCAAATACTCATCATTCCCAAAAAATACTCGTAAAATCACCTTTTTTCAATGATCTTTCTGTTCCTTTCGGAGCCTAATTCGTATTTCTGTTGTATTTTTTTAACTTTAATAAACACATTTTAACTATCATAGTTTTTCCTAATACATGAAGTATTTTGGCCATGTTATAGAATAACTGATCATAATTAAGGATATTACTTAACATACCATCTAGAAACGATGATGTTACTAAAACTGATGTCCAATATTCTAATTGTATTATAAAATGAGTGAACATAGTGAAGGTTCAAACAACGGCTGATAATATTCGACAAATTCAATTTTTTTTATGAATTTTTCTTAATTGGCGATTTTTTTAGTCAATGTATAATTTTTGTATTCATAATAAAAATTGTAAGTTTATTTTATTTAATTTGGTTATCAACTTTAATATTAAGAATATAGGAAATGATAATTTCAGAAAAATATATATTATGTCTGCAATATTTCCTTAATTCAGCCAAATAAATATTATTAAAAAAAGACAAAAAAGCACTAAATTTTTAATACAACTACACATATCAGTCATCAAAATTTTAATCTGTATAGTTTTATTCATTATTAGAATCTTTATTATTTTATAAATATAAATCATATAATAGCAAAATAGGCTTGTTTTTACTATGTTTTAATAACCTTTGATGTTCTTTAAGATTTTGAACGAGCTCAGTTTACTTTTTTAGTAGATATCCTGTTATATGAAATCTTTAAGAATATTCAATGTAATTCTTTACAAATTTAAATATTCGAAACTTTAATCTTTTTTATCTTAAAACTGCTACCAATTATATGCCATTGCTTATTTACTTAAGTTAAATATCCTTTTATATCGTTTTGTTTAATTTTTATGTGGTATTTTTTAATTTTCTTTGAAATAAATTATATAATTTTTTCTTGAAAACAATAAATTATTCATGATATTTAAAGTAAAAACGATAAAGATATAAGATAAAAATTTTATGATAAGTGCTATGTATATTTATCGATTGTCTTGCATTGGCTATAGGTAATATAAAAATAGTCAATCTAAAAACGAAACCAAAAACATAAATTTTGCTAAAATTTAAAAAAATATTAAGTGTACGCAAACATTGTTTTTTCATATAATTAACAATTCTTTAAATCTAAATCTTCATATCATTACTAGACATTATTAAAAAAAATTTTCTGATATATAAATAAACTTATTAACTTACATATAATAAATTTATATAACATAAACAAATAACTATTATTCAGATAATCGAAGAATTTTAATTTAAATAATCATTCGTTCATATTCTAAAATAAATACATATAACTATAAAAATATTCAAATTGCATAGTATTCGAGAATGTAAGAATACTCCCAGCTCATTAGACATCTGGAAAATTCGAGATAAGAGTTCCGGAAAAAGCAAACCCTTGATTATCTAAAGAAAAACAATTCATAAAACATCCGGCGAGAATATGCGACAAGTGTCTAACGAAACACGTATTAAAGCTAATGCGACGATAAATTCGACGCGACCACGCCATAACGTATCCATCGACGACAAGCCATAATACTTCTGGCATAATCAAGTCATAAAAATATAACCAAAAAAATCACGTCGTTTGACATCCGAAAAAGGGATATTAAAGGCATACGCTGTTGTCAAACCCAGCTACATGCGGCTCGGATAGTGAAGGGAGAACGCGCCAAAAGTCCCCTTCATGGTGGGGATGCAAGTAAGAAGCGCTCTGATTGGAGCCGACAATAATGAATGAATCAATTCGATTGAAGACGCTCAGAAAGAGGCGCTCTGAGTGGCAACGCCAAGGAGGCAATTCGTAAAGACCATGTGGTGGCCGAGAATGCCTTTAAGAAAGACGCCGGCAAGGCTTCTTCTCAAAAAAGAACGCCAAAGAACAAGGATGTAGACATACACAGTAATACCCAAGAATTAAGAGGCAAAGGCTAGTCATATCCAACTCATAAAAAGTGCAAGATAAGTGCAAATCAAATCATACACTCGCAGCAGTGTAAGAAAAGGAAAAGGAAACAAGAAAACAGTGGTTCACAGAGCACAACATAATCATAACCTATAAGGAGCCGCTCGAGGCAAATTCAGTAAACAATACGAGGTATAGCCAGCAAAACACAAAACAGACACTACAAGCTGCCGCGTGAGGCAAAGCCTGCAGACATCTCTAACTGCCATCAAGAGCACAAAATCTGCAGAACTCACAAGGTAAAAAGTTCCATTCCTTAATACTGATAATAATACACAATATACCTCACAAGACAAAGTACTGTAGAGCGACCAAGCGCGCACAATCTGCAAACGCATAAGGAGCAAGTTTAGCTCCCACGAGATAGACTTACGAGGCGCCGCACGCGGCAATATCTGCAGACTAAGATGGAGTGCTACTAAAAGCGCACCTGCAGAGCCTTCAACGTAAGCAATAAGACAATACCAAGGCAAATTCAAGCTACTGCCACGTGCCACTGCACAAGGAAGCACGGGGGTTTACGACCTTGTTCATCTACGTGTATAACACCACCACCACGTGCATTACATATAGAGGACCAGAAGGTTACGCCATTCTACCTGTACATGCAACGCACATTACCGTTCTGTGGCATTAGCAATACAAAACTCAAGAAACGAAGACATTCAAACATCAACTAAAAATCATTATAATACAACTAATGCAATTATCGCACTAAACTACAACAAATAACTAAACTATTTATTATTGAATACATGCACTATCCTGTCCATTTACCCGCAATCATCCCATAAACCATCCAGGAATTAGATAAATAATTTTTTGTTGATTCCTTCATCTTTCTTTATTCGTATACCTCATGATAAATTTACTGTATATATATAAAAATGTAGGAGATCAAATAATCACTGTAAATAAAGTCACCTAATTATCTAATTATAGTACGATGAAGAAAACAACCTTTATCGTATTTTATTCGTATTAAGAATTGGTATCAGTGAACCTTATGCACAATACTACTAAATAAACAGCACTTGAAAAATCTTATAGAATAATTTATTTTCATTATTTAATATTAGATTTAATAAAATTTTCAAATGGTTTTTTAATAATCTTTAAAGTTGTGTACCAAAAATAATACATATACAATTATGCTAAATATATATGCATCACTTACGTTATAGTAGGAATTATAACTGCTAAATAATTGTATTTTAGCAGAAAAGTCTACCTTTTTCTTTAATAAAAATTAATACAAAAAAAGCATATGTCAAAATAAAAATTTATTCTCTTAAAAATAGCTAAATATTTTGAATTATAATAGATTTTACTGTTTTCATTATTCAACTTTTCATTAATATTTATTAATATATTTATTAACAGCATTTAATAAAGTATATTTAATACATAATATTTCTAAATTCAAAGCAAAAGAATTCTTAAATATGTAATTTAGAATGTAATTGATCATCATCAATTTTTAATTACCGCTTTTCTTGCATTATTTTTTTTATGGGGTGTTTTTTATTTCGTTATCTCTATTGGTTATTTATTAGAATTTTAACTAGATTCTATACGTAATCGTAACTAACAGACCGATTACCTTAGATTCTATGATGCATTTATTTCTTATCTTTTATAATTTTCAAATTGTTTTAGCTTTCTTAGTCTCTTAATACATTTTAAAAAAGGTTGATATATTTTATAGTCTTAATCACAATTCTTACTACTATTCGTTTGGGAGTTCTTCATTTTTTATTTGAAACGTTTTAGTATCTATATGTATTAATTTATATTGGTTTAAATTCACTCGGAAAGTATTTTTCGTTATTGTTAATATATAATAATAACACAATTCAATTATCTTGTTTGTTCGGAATTCCAGTCACCCAGTGGTCGAAAGACCAAGATGATTGGATTAGACCATATCCGTCATTTTATTTGTGGAAGAGTGTGAATAAGTGAGAGGTTAATGCTTCAATTCGGTAATCAACACAATTGTTTTTAGTGCTATTTATTGAGTTTTGAATTATAAACACACAATTATGATTCTACATTGGTGGTAAGAACGTTAAGACTTTACCACTTGGTTTTTTACGTGAAATTAGCGTGCACTGCAAGTCGAGATTGGAGGTTGTGTAAATGTAAGTGTAGTGTGCTTGGTGGAAATTACTGCACTGACAAGTACAAGGACGAAATCCTTGACACTCCTTGTATAAGGTCACGTATGGTACTTTAGGTACGAGTCTCCTCTTGATGACAATATATGATTCAATACCTGAGTGTGTTGTGGCACTCCTCAATTCAGAGTACAGCTCCGATTACTATGACGTCTTACAGAAGGCGCAGTGCCTCGTCCGGAGATCAGGATCCGAAGACAGTAGTCTTACAGAAGGCCCGGCGCCTCATCCGGAGAACAGTAGTGAGTGTGATGGCCTCATACAGTTTAGCGCCTCCTCTTAGTTGACTCAAGCAAGAATGCCCTTGTAGCTGGTGTACTTTCGTACACCTTCAGCGGTTCGTGGGAGGTTTGCGATCGTATAGTGCCTATCGCGGCTGGTGTATTCGCACCATCAGTGCCGTACGAGACTGGCGTGTGCGTGCTTTCAATATTTGCCGTACGAGACCGGCGCGTTTGCGCTTTCAATATATGGCTTCTCTTTCAATTAAATTCATAGAAATTCATTGTCTTACCTAATTCTGTGATAAGAGCGCAGGTGCTACGCTTCTTATTTCGTAAGCACTCTTGGAATGCTATCAGCACTCTTGACTGCTTGAACTATGGCGCGCTTAAATAGTTGTTAAATGTATTGGCTTCACAGTTGGCTTACTAGCTTATTGTTGTACAGTGTGGCAGAACTATGTGCGTATATTTTGTAAAAGTGACAGACTGGTATAAGGCATGGTTTAGTTGCTGTCTAGAGTAATAACTGATAACTAATTGATTGAGAAATTTACAGTGGGCCTACAAACCTGTCGAATACGTGCACGAAACTGATGACTTAGTCGTTTCGCAGCGGCTCTGTTGAGATATATCGACTATTTCATGGCGGTCCTGCTAAGGCAAACCATGATTCGTACCATGGCGTCTTCACTGAGAGAGTTTCACTAAGAGAGTTAGGCTTGTCGCGTGCGTCCTTTAAATATGCGTATGGCAGATTACTCAGCTGGAAACAATGCATAGCTGTTGTCATGCTGAAAGTCTTGCACGACTTCAGAGACTAAAGCTTTAAAACTTTCGAGTACTCCAGGAAAACAAGGCTCTACAAATTTTGCAGAATTCAAAGACGTTGGTATGCGGAAACTAGATAAATATTACAGGACGTTCGCAAGCAAAGGCTTTACAATTATCGAGAAATTTCGAAGTCAGTCTTTACGATTTCGCGAGATAAAACGATTACAAATTTCATAGATTTAATTTTCTTGGAAAGTGCTCTAATCCTAAACAATGTTATTAAATATTATCTTTTAATCTTAATTTATGATATATGAAAATTACATCCTTGAAACTGTACCAGGTATTAAACTTAAGAATTAAAGCTTTTTTATTTTTATTTCATACAAAATTATGGAGCAAGCTGAAATTTTATTTTTATATTAAGTTAATATAATAAATAAGGGGTAAACAGAAATTAAATTAAGGACGAAAAAGATGAAGCAAAGACTTTGATTACATTTGATATAATATTTAAATATTATTTCCTGTTCAAATATCAAATAGTTAGTACCCTTTACAGTAGGTTATAGACATAAATTAAATAAATTATAAATCTTAAAAAAATTATTTTCTAAAACAGAGAATAAGCTTTAATGAGACTCATATGTTTCATTCATAAATCTAAAATTAATATATTGTTATTTCATTGTTAACATTAACATATATACTAAATAATTAAAAATACTATATAATTACATTTTGAATGTGTTAAAAAAATCTAAATAGAAATAATATTTTTATTTTATTTTCTTAATAAATTTTAATTATTATGAGTATTTATATACATTTCAACAGCAAATTTTATGTATTCATAAATACTATATTAATATTAGATTCTTTGTTCCGAAGGTAATTATTTTTATTTAATATATGTAGGAAGAAGAAAACAAATGTACCATATATTTCATGTAATATATGTATATATATATATATATTGTGAAATAACTATTTTTGTAATAAAATTGTAATAAAAATAAAATCAAAATTGGTATTATATATTATGCATATATTTATAATACATTCGCCATTTTATTAATATAATTTACTTTTTTTGTAAATGGTAGTCGGCACCATGTATGCATGCATTAGGGAGGATAATATAACAACGAAAATTTGTCTTTATTTTATTAAAATTTCATTTCTCATTACCTATCATGCATATGTAATTTCGATAAATATTTATTACTAATTATACTTTATTTTTTATTACAAATCATTTTTTATTACTATTAATAAATATTAATTCCATTTATTTTTAAACGGCCATTTTTATAAATGAAAAGATCATTTATCTGTAATTGAAAAATAAGAAATAATTTAATCATAAAACATAAACTTTTCTATTTTATGTTTGAAAAATAAAAGTTGAAAAATAATTATTTAATGTAATATAATTTTAATTTTTTATGAAAAGTACATCAATATAAAATGTATATAATATAATTAAAAAAAAAAGAAAATGATGAATGGTTGTTTACTTAAAAAATGTATGTATAGTCTACATTCCTTTCCTTTATATTATTATAGGTATTTTTATAAAACTTTTGGAAGTAAATTATTATTATTTATTTGTTATAATTATTTATGAATATAAAGATATTGAATTATGACACACAATTTTTATAATGAAAATTTTTTTATCATTCATGATTTAGTAAAAAATAAGTATAAATCCATTTTAGAATATTGAAAATTAAATAAAATTAGAATTTACTTTTATATTATTTATAATTTATAAATAATACATATTTGCAAGATTTTCCAATAAATTAAAACTTCTAGATATATTTGAATTAAAATTATATTTATGCTTTTATTTGTCATTTAATATTTGTATTAATAATTATTAAAAGGAACTATTGATAACATTTATATTCTAGTTTAAATGTAATAAAAAAAGAATAAAAAACTTCTTATGTTAATAATGAAATTAATATTTCTTTTGTTCAATGATCATATGAGGGTTTCAATATAAAAGTTTTAATATTGACTATTTTGTAATCGAAGAAGTCAAATATCCAGACCCGATCTAAGAGATGGAATGATAATTATTTTAATATAATAAACAAGATAACTCAAAGCTTTTATTTTTACTGAATAAATATTGTACTGATTCTATATTTGTATACTTTTGTACTTAAAATTTTTCCAAATGAAATTGAGTTATAAAATAGTTTTTTAATGAATTTAAACAAATACTGTTATTATTTTATTGATATATTTGATTATTACATACAAAAATTATGTTTGAAAAAATCTATAAAAAAACGTTATTACAAAAGAAAGCCATTTTCTATAATATATACATTAAATTTTTTTTTAGTAAATAATTGACTTTACAATTATTGTTTGGCTTCTTTAAAAATTGATAATTTATATTTTAATATAAAGTAATATAAAAAAAATTATATTTTACCATAATAATTATTTTTCTTGTATATTTTGACTTGATTTTGTTTATAGAAAATTAAAAATAATTATTATAATTATGAATTATTTACATATTTTATTTATTTATTCAAATTTATCTGATTTATGTACATCAATAAAAAAATTTTTAATAATCTGTTTTAAAGAAGTAATCTTGTTAATTTCTATATTTTTTTCTAACCCGTGTTCTTTATTTCTAACATTCACGTTTAATATTTTAACGTTTAACGTATTCAAGGCTTATGTTCATGGAAATCAAATAAGCACTTGTGTATTCGTGTATAAACTTATGCGGCTAATGCCATAACAATAAAGGTTTTATTCGTACCAGTTATGATTTCCTGCGATGAGATCTTTCCGATGAAAGTGCCCTTTATTGTTCAACATCATTATATTCAATACCATATTCATAGCAACATACGTTATTTGATTGGAATTATCAAATTACTGCTAGGTATGTGTATTGAATTGAAGTAGTGATGGCGATTGCAATGAGTACATGGATCAAAGTAGAAACAGAATAATAACAAGTGTTTTTTATGCAAAGTGTGAAAATAATATTAAAAACTTTAATGGCATATTTATGAATATGAAGACATAATCAGTTAATCGTGTTCGTGATCTGGATTATATTGCGAATGAAAATTGTTTGTGTATTTAATATATGTAATGTATTCAATATATATATATATATATATATATATATAGATGATAATATCATATATTAATAAAAATATTAACTATATAATTACACTAAAATATTTGTATTATGATCAATTATTCTATTTGACAATATATATTGTAATATCTATTGCGCTGATTATGAAACATAACAGAAATATTTTAAATTTAACAGATCTTTTTAAGAGCAATGTATTTTTTTTCGTTTTATCTATAGTATATATTTTTTAATCACATGATGAAATTAAATACATAATAAATCTATGTAATATAATTTTACTTAACAGGATTTTTTTTATTTTTTATTTATTTTATTTAGATTATTTTATTTAAAAATATTATTTCATTCACAATAATTATGACAAAATTTAAGTATTTATGTATAATTTGTTATTTGCAACAATTGTTAGGACTAATAAATTATGCAGGGAATATTGGACAATGTAAAAATAGTATTCTTTATGTTTGAAACGTTGAGATTTAATATAATGTAATATAATATAATATAATATAATAATATAATAATAATATAATTTAATATAATATTTAATGATCAAATATAATAATATAATGTTATTACAAAATCTACAGACGTCAAATAAAATCTTGTTTTTATGTTTTATGTATTCTTCAAAAATTATTTTGTTAATTTAATTAATGTTAATCAACTATTCTCAATTTTATTTCAATTACTAATATTGAACGAATAATTAAATTATTACACCTCTGTAGTACAATTACTTTTCGTCAGTTTTTTTTTTTATAAATTTCTATATTTATACAAATATTTCGCTTCACTTTGTCTCATACATTGTAATGAAAATTTATGTATATAAGAATCCAATTGCAAAAAAAAACAAAAAAATAATTTTTATAATATTTTATAATATATGTTTGATAATATATACTGTTTTATTCATAGGAGCATCTAGGAGTACTTATGGCTTAATAAAATTGTGAAAACTTAGTAATTGGAAGCAGGATGTGGTACATATTAATTAGTGTGCTGGCCTTTGTGGCTAGTATTAGTGGATATGAAAGCGGTAAAATTAATATTGATTTACAGACAATACCATCAGTTCTGCCACATGATATTTATCCTGGTTTCGAAGTGATGCAATTTCGGACCGAGTTTAATCATCTTACCAGTTATCAACTTATTGAAAATAGATTCTCTAAATATTTTACTGTTCTTGATAATGGTATTCTGATGACTACCTCTAATCTCTTACCTCTTGTCAATCGACCTGTGTATCTCATCATTTTGGAACAACTTTTTAATCGTACTAAGATTCATGAACTTAATCTCTATGTCATCAACCGGCATAGGATGCTTACATTCTCACGTGACCATCTCGGTGAAGGACAAATTACTGAGAACGCTAGCCTAGGAAGCCTCATCAAGGATCTGCCTATGTTTCATGCTCGAGGAAACTTCCCGGTTCATTATATTATTTTACCGAACGAAGCTGGTCAACGACCTTTTGCTCTAGCTGAGAGCCATTTTGGTCAGATTGGTTTTAATCTGACCTTACGGAGTTCTAAACAGACTATGAAATTAGTTACAGCTCAACAATTGGATCGAGAAAAAAAAGCCAGCCACCGAGTGGTTATTCAGGCTTCAGATGGTGATTATGTTAGTACGTCAAAAATCGAAGGATTGATACACGTACTTGACGTTAATGACAATAGTCCTATATTTGAACAAATACATTACAGTTTTGATGTCTTGCCTGAAAATTTAAATGAGCTAGGTAACTGGAGCTGTATCCAACCTCAATGGAAGCGATTCTCAAGTATAGGTCAGGTATTGGCCAAGGATGCTGATGGTGACAGAGTGGCGTACAAATTATTGACACCAACGAATCTCATCGTTATAGTACCACAAACGGGTGAGCTATTGTTGATTGGAGAACCAAACATTGAAATGGATATCAATGTTGAAAGTGAATTTTTGGTTGAAGCACATGATATAAGAATACCTAGCAGAATAGGAATATCACCTGCGCGCGTACTTGTACGCTTTTTGACCTGTAAATCCGAAAGGACCCTCGCCAAAGAAAAAAATGAAATACACAGAATCGTCAAACGAAGAGTTACAAGAGCAGTTAGGCCAACTAAGAAGATCGAATTTACGGAAGCCGATGGTAACATCGAAGACAAGGTTGCATTTAACTTAGAAAAGGAGAATGAGCGAGAAACATATAAGATAAGAGACATTAATAAGTGGGTTACCGTAATGTCTAATGGCACTGTTAAAGTTAAACAAAAATGGGATTATGAAGAATTAGGTCCTGAAAAAACGATTGATTTTTGGGTTACGATTACAAATTCAGGTAATTTTGAAAACATTTATATTTAACATGAATTTTTTAATTGCGAAAATTTTTAAGATTCATATTAAAATTTTTATATCTATACACCTTATATAATTTCTACTTTGCATAGAATATAATTTATTGAAACGTATTGAATTATATATAAATACAAATCTTTACACCTCTTAATTAATAGAAATTTTATTGAAAATCAAATAAATTCCTGAAATAAATAATTTTTTAATAACAAATAAGATGTAATTGAAATATTCAATATTTCTATCAAATATAAAACCAAATCATGCTATGTGATCATATAAACATCTCACATTTATAATTTAAAATAATGTACAATATGATTTAATTCGTATTCTTTTACGTAAACTTATGTTTTTTGTTCGGTTTATATTACTCTTCATATTATTCTGATTCACGTATAGATGATTTTTTCTATAATTTTTCTATTATACATGTTTAATAGCTCAAATTCATTTTTTTTGGAAACAAAAATGTTTTATAAAAATATTCATATTCTACAAATTATAGTTTGAATTATTCCTAAAAGAATGAAGCATATACTTTAAAATTAACTCGAAAATTATGATTATTTCATTTTATCGTATAAAAAATTAATTATTTTATCATTAATTACTGAAATTTTATTTTATTTTTCATTTTATGGCTTTCGAAGGTTTTCAATGTAAGTAATATTTTTTGATAAGTCATTTGTTAATGTAGTATATATGTAGTTTAATGAACGATTATTCTGATCATGCATAATTGTATGAATTGATAATAAGATTATTTTAACAACAATTATTAATATTACTATTATTTTAATGTTTTATTTTTACTTTATAATATAATATTCATATATTATATTATTTACAGAAAAATTATGTTTATAAGTTTGGTTAAATAAAAATTTATTGTTACCTACTTATGCAATTAAATTACTGCAAATAAGAATTTTTTAAAATAAATTTTAGTCATATTATTGCATACTTGATTAATACATAAAAATAGATCAAATTCGAAATATAAATTTTTTTTAACTTTTGCAAAATTCATTTAATCTTATTTTATTAATATCAAGACATAAATAAATAACATAGATGCTTCTTTAATTATTACTATTTTTTTGTGCTGCACAGATTTCTTATATATGTAGTTATTTTTTGTGTATGAATGTGTGGAGGGTAACAGAAAGAGGAGTGGGATAGGGATAAACTGAGAAATAAAAGCAAAAATATTAAGGATATGCTGTGTGTGTTAAGTATCATCAGAAATTACTTTGATAATTCGTAGATACTGACAATCAACGTGTTATTATCAACATAAAGGATATTAACGATGAGCCACCATATTTTATCAATCGACCATTGCCAATGCAGGCTGTTGTGCAACTCAACGCTCCACCTAACACACATGTTTTCACTCTTCAGGCACGAGATCCTGACACAGATAGTAATATCCACTATTTCATCGTACGCGATCGAAGTAATTGATAACATTTTCTTTTAATAAATTATTTATTTATTTTATAATTAGAATAATAAATTATTTTGTTTTCTCAAATTTACTAATTCTAGATTATTATAGATATCTTTTATTACCTTTATTATTCTATTATTATCTTTGTTATAAAGAATCTTATTTTTCTTACAAAATTTTTTTTTAAATTGTTATTTTATAATAAAACATTATTTTTTAATTTCTTTTACTAAATCCTATTTTGCCATTCTAATAAAATTCATAACAATTTAAAAATATTAATTTATTTTAATAATTTACACCAAAACTTAAGACCTAATTTATAATTTCCATGTTTTCAAAAGATTTATATTATATTTCAAAATAATTAATAAAAGTTATATATTTTTTAATCTACCTTTTAACAATACATCCGAAACAATTGCAGAGAAACTTCAATACAATATTTGATTTTTATTTTATTTTAAAATGTATAAAATCATTAATACTATCTATGGTGAATTTTAAATTGAAATAAATTTGCTTATTTACAAAAATTGCATACATTTTTAATATTAAAGTAAGGCATTATATTCTTATATCAACAAAAAATCTGAATCTTAAATTAGTTGTTATATTAAATTAAATATTAATTTTCTATATGTTTTAGCTGGTGGCAGATTTGAGGTTGATGAGCGCTCAGGAGTTGTGCGAACGCGTGGTACAGATCCGTTTCAACTTGACATGGAATATGTTCTTTACGTGAAAGCAGAGGATCAAAATGGACGTGTCGAGGATCGACGGTATCAATCTACTCCTGAAGAGAGACTATCAATTGTTGGTGGAAAAAGAGCACCTCAATTCTACTTAACTGCTTACGAAGCAGAAATACCAGAAAATAAAAAAAAGGATTCAGAGTAAGTTTTCGCATTTTAGGTATAGTTGATAAATTTACTTCTTTTTGTAAAACAATTGAATATGCTATATCTTCAAAGTGGTTATTTATATATTTATTACAATCATATTCTAAATATTTTTTTAATTCAGAGACATTAAAAATGTTCTTTACTAAAGTAATTTAAAAAATTATTTATAATTTTATTCATTAAATAATATTAATCAATAACACTGATTGAGTAACTCTATAAAGATGAAACAATTTTACATTTCATTTAGTTCTTTTTTCACTGATTTTTTCACTTGTTTAAAATATTTTTATATAATTAAAAATATCAAAAAAAAATTTTAATTATCCTGGATTCTTCGTACATTAATTTCTTCATTTAATTTTCTATTTCACTTATATATTTTTAATTATATTACAAATTTAATATAATTAAAGCTACCGTTTATCATAAACAATAATTTTATTGACTTCTATGATTTCATGTAATTTAAATGTATACTTAATTTATTACCGCAATCAAATATTTAAATAAACTATTGTATTTTCAGTATTATATCTGTGAAAGCTAAGTCATTTGCTGATAGAGAAATACGTTATACATTACAAGCTCAAAATCCAGGTGCTGCAGGAACGTTTAATATCGGAGCGACTTCTGGAATCGTAAAACTTGCCAAAGAATTGGATTTCGAAGACCTTCGTCAATTAAATATTTATCAATTAATTGTCACCGCTACTGAAGATTCGGGAGGCTTTTCCACGTCAGTTGAGGTATAAAATAAGTTGAGGTTTAAAATAATTAATTATTTTTTAAATTATTAGTATTTATATTAAGAAAATATAAAAAATTGAATAAATAGTGATGAAATTAATTTTCTTAGTATTTTCAAAACTTGAAAAAAATGCTTTATATATATTATATTAGTTATTATAGTGTATAATATATTCTGGTATATATTCTAATATTTATTTTCTCATATAATGATGATTATAAGTATGAAGAAGCATAAGCTTATAAAACAATAATGTAATAAAATACATAAATCATTGTCTATTTGATTATGATATATTATGTTACAAGTTATGTAATAATTTTCTTATATTTTCAGTTAACGATACGAGTATCTGATGTGAATGATAATGCACCTAAGTTCGAATTACCGGATTATCAAGCTCATAATGTAGATGAAGATATTCCATTAGGAACAAGTATTCTTAAGGTTAAAGCTACAGATGCAGATTCGGGAATGAATGCAGAAATAGAGTATCTAGTTTCGGATGATCACTTTAGTGTTGACGCTAGTGGTGCCATAGTTAATAATAAGCAACTCGATGCTGATAATAATAATGCTTATTATGAATTTATCGTTACTGCAAAAGATAAAGGTAAGATTTAAATATTAGATTTAAGTTTTTGGAAATAATTTGAGCATTAATGTAGACTGTGAGAAAAGTATAGTTACAATTATGTACTTAAAAAGCAAATAGTTATTTTGAATTTTTATTTAAATCAATAACATTCATTAAATAAAATTCATTATTACTTTTCTATTCTATTTATAAATTTCCTTTCTTCCTTTCATTTATTTTATAGATTAAATTAAATAAAAAAAGGCTACAAATTTTCGTTGAATAAAAATATATAATTGAAATATTAATATTAAAGTTATAATATAACTGAATTAAAAATAACAAATAATTATTTTTAAAGCTTTACTTTATTTATAATAAAAAAAAAACAAATATGGCATAAAGATATTAAATATATTAATATGTATGAATTAAGGAAAATATAAATATTATGTATAACATATTTTAATATTCAAATAATATTCGCTGAACCCATTATGTATTATTACTATTATTGCATTAAATGGTTTCAATTATTATTTTGTTAATTGTATATTAAAGTCAATTTTGAAATTGTTACTACAATATTAGGGACCTCAGCATCTTCAAGATTTTATTTTTATATTATTTTTAGTTTTTTATGTAAAATTACTTATAATAAATAATCATATAATTATAACTATGTAAAGAAATTAATTTTATTAAAATTTATCAATATGAAAAAGGAAGAATAAAATATAAACTTTGATCAACTTGACCAACCTTTTGGATATTTATAAGTATTTTCATATTATATTAATTTTTTATGCAGTATATATTATATATTTTTTTTATTAATTAATTAAAATATTTATTTAAAAGATGTAGTTCTTAATAAATTTTTGAATATCGAATTTTTTTTTAATTTAAATTAATATAAATTAAGAATCTGTCCTTATACTTTTATCCTTACAATTTTAATAAGTACATTTGGTTATTATATCATTTATTTTATAATTTTCAATTTATATTTTCAATTCTGTTCCAGTTTTTGTTCTAAAAGACTATTCTAGTTATATTTATATAGCTTTCATTAATATAATTTGTATGTTTGACAGTATATTTCTGTAATTTAATAACTTATAATAAGAAGGAGAAATATTCATTTATTTAATAAATTTATATACAATGTATTTTAAATTAATAATTTTTTAATCTTATTAAAATATTGGAAAGTGATACTTTTATATTAATCTGTATGTTCTTTATTCAGTTTTAATAGTATGAATCTAATTTTCTGTTTGTAACTAATATACATTGAAGTAGTTAAAATTTTAATCTTTATTTGATTTTTTCAATTTTTTCCAATTTTTCTGTTCAAAGATCTAATTAATTTCTTTTTTACAGCTTTTCATTGATAATCAGACATGTACTTTTATAAACAAATATTAAAAATAATCACATTTAAAATAGATAAACCTTATATTAATTGATATTGTGTTTTAAATAATAAAATTTATATACTTAAATTAAATTTATCAATGTTCTATTTTTATTTTTATATCAATATAAAAATATTCTATGTTTATTTTATTAATATGTAAAAAGGTACATTGGAGTATGAGAATGAATATAACAAATTTTTATCTTTTATATTTTTGGTAAAATCAAAATCTACATATCAGCAATAAGAATTAATCATCTAGTAATAGTAATAAATAACATAAACGAAAATTCGGAAACGTAAATTGTTTTTTATATTAAACATTGACATATTTTATGTATAATATGTAATTTAGACAATAGAATATTTATTGAGTAAATTGAACTAGCACTTCTTTAAAACTGTAAAAAATATAAAAGCAAAAATAATTGAAAAAATAAATACCTTTTACTTAATAGGCGAACCATCTAAAAGCGGCACGGCGACAGTGCGCATATATACAAAAAATAAAAACGATGAGGAGCCCAAGTTTTCGCAGCAAGTATACACACCGAATGTTGACGAGAATGCAGGACCTAGTACTCTTGTGACGACCGTTGTTGCATCAGACAAAGACGGCGACAACGTACGTTTTGGTTTTGTGGGCGGTGGCACGTCATCTGGACAGTTCGTTATTGAGGAGATTACAGGCGTTATTCGTTTGCATAACAAAAAGATTCTTCTCGATCGAGACAAATACGAGTTAAATGTTACGGCTATGGACGATGGTGCTTGTTGTCTCAATGGGGAGCAAAATATTCACACAAGTACGGCAGTCGTTGTCGTATTCATCACAGATGTTAATGATAATAAACCTGTCTTCAAAGATTGTGGAACATATAATCCAAAAGTTGAAGAAGGCGCAACGAATGGAAGTCCAGTTATCAAAGTTTTAGCTACGGATGAGGACAAAGGTGTTAATGGACAAGTCAAATATTCTATCGTCCAACAACCAAATCAAAAGGGTACTAAGTTTACTGTAGATGAAGAAACTGGACAAGTCATGACAAATAAGGTAATAATACAAAATAATTGCATTCTGTAACCTTGGTGTAATATATGTATTTTCTTCAACAAAATACCAATCTTATGAGATTTAAAAAAATAAATAGTATTAAAATAACAGTAGAATATTATGCATAATAGTATTAAATGATAACAAATGAATAAATATTAGGAGATGTCATAATAATAACTATGTCTATATATGTAAATTTATGAATATAAAGGTTAGCAATATAAAAATACAAATTTTTAATGTAATATACTTTTAATTCTATTATTATTATTATATTTCATTGTATTATATTAATTATATAATATATATTTTTTTAAAGTAATTACTATTATCAATTAAATCTTTAAAACCATATAAAAATGTAGCTTAGCACATAAACCTAAAATTTGATTAATTAAAATAACAATTATTGAAATTAATATTGAAGTTATATAGGATAATGATTCCTACTTTTAATTACCAAAAATATTTATAATATTGTTATTTAAGTAAAAGAATATTATACACAACAGCTTTATTATAATATATATTATATATATATATATATATATTATGCTAATAAAAAAATAGTGTTTTTAATAAAATATCATTTTTAAATAAATACTATGAATCAAAATGTACTTGATTTTTTCACAGGTATTCGATCGCGAAGGAGATGATGGTAAGTTTGTATCAGTGACGGTTAAAGCAACGGATCAGGGTGAGCCTTCATTAGAAGGTGTTTGCTCATTTACAGTCGAAATAACAGACGTAAATGATAATCCACCTCTTTTTGACCGACAAGTGAGTCAAAATAAAGTAGTCGTTTAAAATATTATGGATTGTCATTTTGAAATATTATTTCGTTTTTTAATTATTTTTTCAGAAATACGTAGAGAATGTGAAACAAGATGCGAGTATCGGTACCAACATTCTTCGAGTTTCAGCATCTGATGAGGACGCAGATAACAACGGGGCAATTATATATTCTTTGAGCGCACCCAACGACGAAAAAGGATTGGAATACTTCGAAATTCAACCAGAGTCTGGTTGGATCGTGCTGAAAAAGCCACTAGACGTAAGTATTTCTCACAAATCATATTTATTGATAAAATAATCTTCAAAAAATCAATGGTTAATAAATTTGAGAAAAAATGAGGGATTCAATAATTTTTTTCATAAAGTAAAAAATTTAGATTTATATTCCACTTTTTATCACTTCTTGGTAGCTAAAACTGAATGACCCATCATTTATTTATTATATAATATATAATATACAATATACAATATATAATATTTAAGGAATATTTTATGAAATTTAAAAAATTTATTTTATATTATTTTTATTGATTGATTACTGTTCTTGTAAATTTTTTAATATGTAACTTTCACATTTAAAATAAATTAAGTTAAAAGCGGTTCAAATTCAATTTCGTAAAGTTAAATTTATTATTTTTAATTTAAGTCAATAATTATTTAATATGAAGGTTTAGTATAATAAATAATAATATAATTTTTCTGATTTTTTTTTTAAATAATTTGTTATCAATATGTAATTCAGTTATCAAATTTTTTAGTTTTAGTTACTATTCAATATTTTTTATTTAATTTAATTTTATTTAATAATAAATCAAATTATTAAAAGTTTTCTTGAATATAATTTATTTGTGTACAATTATATCAATTACCTTAATACCATAAATGTTTTACTTTTTAAATTAAAAGTATTTATACAAATTATATATGTTTATTTTAAGCCATTGCTAAAATCTCTTGATAATTTATTAGTTATAAACTTTTACATAAAAAAATTTATTAACTTTAGAGTATTTCAAATTTGTTCATATAGATAATTAATAATAATTTGTTTCTATAAATTATAAAACATTAAATCAATATAATGACTTTATTAAATTTCATTAAAGAGAATTTATAGAAGAAATAATATTTATTATCCACGAATTTCATTAATATTTATTTAATCGTCTGATTGAGATAAACAAAATGTTCTTGTTTCATTATCTTAATTTCACATATTCTTTAGATATTGAACATTTTTAGTAAATAAATTATTCATTATTCTTTAAAAAAGTACAGAGTTGTATAGTTTTATTCGCATTCATATACACAATGTGTTAACTATAGTAAATACTTATAGGCATACCTGATTTCCTCAAATGCTTTATAAAAATATAAATAAAAATTCAGAAAATTCTAAATATTAAAAAGTTAATGAATAAGATTATTTACATAGAAAAAATAGAAGAAAGAACTTTGCAAAATAATTTATTAAAAAAATGCTATAATCAGGTTATGGAACTTTGCAAATGATTAATAATTTTTTGTAAAAAGAAACAGACTACACTCTACGGAGATGCCAAATATGGTTGGTTGAGGAGGAAGCAGATTAATTAGTATCAAATATTTATTAATAATATCATTTTTATTATTATTCTGTAATATTTATGTCTTCTCTTTTTTGCAATAAAGGGAAAAATAATTTTCGAATTAATTTTTTTAATTTTAATGATTTTTTTCGGAAATTAAACTAATCTGATTGTTTTTAAAAAGGAAGTGGTACTATTTGAACTTCCAGGAGCAGGTGGGAATGGCATTTTTTGAATCCCACATATGGTGTGCACCAACCTCTACTCATTTTGTGGTGTATTAAATAAACAATTTTTTATGCATGTTTGCATATTTACATGAATGTTTTTTGAATATTTTACAGGAACGGAATCCGCTCTCAATTCCTATCCAATTTATCTATTTATATTTATTTCTTCTTTCATCCATTAATTTTTTATCTTTCCATATCTTCAATTTTTTATTTAGAATAGATTGTTTAATTACTACATTTTTAGTCAATCGTATACTAAACATTTCTATTTCTCTGGTATTTTTCGTTGTCCTGCCTTCATTTGTTTTTTTTTGTTTTTTTTGTTTTTAATAATTCCTTCTTTATATCTTGAATTTGTTTTATTTTGCTTATTATTTTTTTTAACTCGTTCTTTAGTAGCTTTTTATTATTTTATTTTGTTCAGATTTATTACAACTGACAAATTAGATATTTCACAGAGAGCATTTTCGTATGTAAAATAGGTCGTAAGAAATTAAAAGAATTTATCTATTGTGTGACACATTTTCTTTTGTGATTGGGGCAGCATACGAATGTCGAAAATATACAATAAAAATATTTCAGCAGTAAAACATAACGTCCATCGCTTTTTGAGAGTCGTTAATAAAAAGTAAAGAAAAGTAAAACAAAATATGTAGAGAATTAAGTATAATTGCTTTTTTCCAATTAATCAAATCCACCGTAAATCCCTTTTCAAAAACCTTGATTCCTTAGCCACTGCCTCTATTGAAGCATATCTTACTTGCATGGTTAAAATGACTGTTAATTTTTATTTTTGTAATAACTAATTTTGAACTTTTTGTTGTTTATGTTTGTATTTATTGCACTCTTTTATTACTTCGGATTTGATATGACGGTGGTGATACAAAAAGAGCTGTTTTCCAGTAAGTAGGAGTATCTTTTATGTTCATTTATTTCAATATAGCAAAATTAACTTTTCAAAGCAAATTTTTTTAGTATTTATAATATTTGAATAATATTTAGTTTTTTTTATCTAAAATCTTTGCATAGTTTCATTTAATTTTATATTACCTTATAAAAATTATATGTTATTTTATTGAGAACAATTTTCTGAATTCTAAATTTTCTGAAACAATTTTAATGAATTTCAATTGTCATTCGATATTATAACTGTGAATATAATAAATAATAATTAAACATATTTACTGGATGGTTCTACAATTAAAAGTTTGTATCGAAGTATTAAATCTTATCATAATGTTTGCAAAAAATAAAAAATATTTTATTATATGTTGAATATTATAAATTTAATATTTTATATATTCAATTACATATTATCATCTTTTAATTCATAAGCATTTTTGTCAATTGAATGTAAATGTTTCTTTTCTCTAGAAAATTCTATCATGATTATTACAAATAACATAAAGTATAATAAATTCTTCAAACATTTACCTTAATAAAAATTTTAATCAATTAATTATTTATCGTGTAACAAATGATTAACAAATCATCTCTATCTTTCTTTATTTTTTTTTCTTTCCTTTTTAAAAATCTTTATATGTATATTTATTAATTTATTTTTAAATTTACAAGTTTTTTTAAGAGGCATATTTCAACTCCTTAGTAAAAATTAAAAAATTGGCTATTAGAATGAAGTAAACGGTAAATTAAAAATTTTAAGGCAAAAAAAATAATAAATAAAAAATAAAAGAAAAGAAAATATTTTTCTCATTGGTTCGTTAAAAAATGTACAGCATATTTATCCGAGTATTTTGAATAACTTGACGGTCCGTATATTTTGCCAATAGCGAGACAGGTATCGACTGAGAATAAGCGCCTCCGACAGAGGGACACCGCCCTCATATGCCGAAGTGGATGTTGAATTAGACGTCGTAGACAGAAACAATAAACCTCCTGTGTGGGATAGCAATGTATACGGCCCCATTCACATCAAAGAAAATGTCACAGTGGGTACTGTAATGACGTCAGTAAAAGCCAGGTTTGTATGTCACGATGACAAAAAACATTACCAAAGTGAGAATCAACACGCAGCGCCGAACCATGTGGTATTTTTCAGTCATTTCTATATCATGTTTTTATTCACATTGTTTTTTCTTTCTTTTCACCTTAATCGCTATGTACGTTATAATAAACAAATTATTTTCTGATCCTTATGTAGTTTATGGTACCCTATATGCGTGTGTATATACGCATACTCAACAATGGATACATTATATATATATATGTGTGTGCGCGGGTGTGTGTATGGATTAAATTGTAGGATTTGCTTGTTTTTAGTCATATTACTTAGAAATATGTAACCTATTTTTTCTGTTATTTCATAATTTATTTTCAAAATATTTTGAGTACTTTTATAAATAATTAACTATCGGTTGTGTACATACCTATGCATTAAAAATAATTGGATTTTGTTTATTTACATGATTTATTCTTTGCATTTACCTTGCTCCTTGAAAAATTTTAATTTTCATTAGAATAATTGATAACTGAAATATACAACACATATATGTAAAGTATTAAACAAAAGTATATGCATTTGTAAAATTCTTAATAAGATCACTATCTCACGCATGGTTAAGCGCAGCGTGTACGTGTCGGTAAATTATTCAGCGTAAATTAGTCACCTATTGTACTATTATTGTATTATTATTTATTTTTATTATTATTATTATATTGTTATTGTTATTATCATATTTGTTATTATTATATTAATTTCTTACCTTATTATAATATTACATTGAATAATGTAATTATCAGTTAAACTGTTATTACTAATATTGGAAATATTATTCTATATTTTTATTATATTACGTTTTTAAACTTACTGTCTCAATGCATATTATATTTATCTGCGTTATTCTTTTATATCTATTTTTTCCTCTTATACAAATATATTTATGTTAACTTATATTCATTACCTATTAAGAAACAAAATTATAGCGTTTATTATTGCGTTGTCGTAATTTACGAATGAGTTCAAACTCAAACAGTGAACAAATTAATAAGAAGCAAATAAATGAATAAAAATGGCTTTATATTCATGTTTTATATGTTGTTCTTCATGATATGCTCTTATTATTTTTTCTGAACAGTTTATTTTACAATAATTATTTATGAATTACTAGATCAGAAAAGATAATATATTGTAATATAAGTAAAATATAGGTGCTACAGGACAAAGGGAATGTGATCGACGTTCGAGATCCGACTACGATTTTTCAGAGTTTCGTCATCTTTAATAACTTTCAGCAGATCAACTGTCGATGATTTGATATTTAATAATAACTTTTATCGTTAAAAAATATTTTCAGTATTTAAAAAAGAAATGCTTTTTTTATTTATTAAAAGAGATTTTGGGTAATATTGTTTAAAGGCCAACAAAATGGTATATTGACAAAAAACAGAGCTGAAATATAAAGGAAGAATGAAAGTGTTTGACTAACTTTGGTTATTTTTGTTTTTCTTTTCCATTTGTCTTGTGATATCACACGTGTGCGTGCGCGTGATGGGTAGCGTGAGACATACAAGCTGGAGGCGATGGCCCAAGATAAGGGCTTTCCGCCCTTATCGAGAACAGTGGAAGTACAGATTGACGTTGTGGATCGTGCTAATAATCCGCCCGTATGGGATCAAGTAGTGTACGGCCCAATCTTCTGTAAAGAAAACATGGCTGTCGGGGCCAAAGTCGTGTCTATTAAAGCCAGGTCTGTCACACTATTAAAACATACGCGCAGTCGCACGATTAAAAAAAAAAAAAATCGTTTTGCACGTAAAATTCGTGACAGTATATTGTTCTTATGCACGTTAATTGATATTGTGTACGATGCCAATAATTAATTCTTTACATATAAAGGAGACTAGTATCTATAAATAAATTTTCTTTACTAACGGGGAAAGTGTGTTTTTATTTTGGCTGTTGAATTAGATACGCATTAAAAATAGTTGATATTTTTCCTCAGTTTCAAATATTTTAATTGAATCATTATATTCTATATTTCTCTTTTTTTGTTTTTAATTTTCTTCAAGATATTAAAATGGTAGTCTATTTTAATGTTATAATTTAATTTAGAAGTAGTAAAATATTATTGGTAGTATTCTTTTTATATTTATTAAACTAAAAATTTCTATAAATACAATTTAGTGTAACTTTAGAGAATTAAGTATTTCTCATATTTTCAATTTTGAATATGAAAATTGTAAAAAATATAATTTTTATTAAGTTTATTTTATATTTTTTTTATATAATAATTTTATAGATGCACAAAAATATTAAATAGTTTTATGTTTGGAACGTCTATATAAAGCTTTATTCTCCTCTATAGTCTCCTCTATATGTTTGATTTACCGTTTTCAAACATATACTTATAACTACACTATCGAACACACTACATATTTTTCATACAGCAACTGTATTTTTTTATATCATGATTATATTTATTGAGTATTAAAGGAAATTCGTAAAAAGATTTATGAAATAATGTATCATAAAGATATATACATACCTGATTAAATAAATTATATAATCATAAATTATTTTTCTTGAGAATAATTTTATAAAAAAATATTTATAAAAATATTTATATTTATACATTTTTGTGATTTATAAGAAATAAACATTTAATTTATTTAGATTAAAATTAATAAAATAACATAATGTTTATAGAACAAAAACATAGAAAATACGAATGAAAATTGTTTATTTATTTATCGTGTTTATAAAAGAACTGTGATTCGGATCAGAAATTCACTGAGAAAATAAAATCCATAATATGTCATTACAGTTATATAACACAATTAGTATAATGTAAATGTAGTGAATTATATAAAAAATTTTTGCTGTTTTGATTAATTAATTTTACCTTATACATTTTTTAAAGTAGTTTGAAGTTTTTTATTATTATTAATATATATAATATACTCGTCGAAACCTTTTTTATAATCGAATCAGTTGTTTTTAATATTTTTATTCTTTACAAATTGAATTATAATTTGCACTTGCTTAAGAAGATGTGTGTGCGTGTGTGTGGAAGTAGGAAGTGTGTAAATGTCTGTAAGAACTTAAACAATTGTGCCATAATGATAGTTTTTAGAATGCTTTCAATTTAGGTGCTTTTTTAAAAATATCATTTTTTAAATGTAATTTTTTTATCTATTTTTGTATCACATAATTTATCAGTATTTTTTCAAAATTTGTTATTTATTCAAAAGTATTTTTGTTCGTTAATCAAGTAGCATTTATATTGTTCTTTATAATACTATTATATCTAATACATGAAATTACACCGGTTTATTGCAAATTATGACTATATAGTTTATTAATTTAATTTTTCCTTTTTTGCAAAATTATTCATATTTGCTTTCTATTATATTTCTATATTTCTAAACTAAACTATTATTATTTTATTTATAAATTTCATTTTCTTTTTAGTTACCAAAATATTGCATATCTTAAATATTATACTCTACATCATAGATACGTCGAACTGAATGCCAAATGAATTTTTAGGCATACCTTATTAACTGCTTATTTCGTGTATTATAAATAAGAGTTTATTTTTAATATTTATTGTTGTTAAAGTTCAAATAAAGAAATTTTTTACTGTAACACAAAAAAAATTAATAATATAAAATATATAGAGAAATAATAATAAAAATAAGATAAAAAAAAGAAACAGCCAAGCTAAAGTTAAAGAAAAATAATTTACTATGTATGATAAATATCAAAATTAAATGCGAACAATACATTTTCTTATTTACATAGATGTTGGGAGAAATTAAATAAAATATATTGCAGAAATTACATAAAATCTTTTTTAAGGATGTACTTATACTTTTGATGGAAAATACAAATATATCACATAGTACAAATATACACTTCTATTATCAGCATTATATGAGATACATGTTTGTATTTGTGTGCATTCAGTTCACACATTCTGATACGATCAATGAAAAATAAATAAATATATATTCAGTTTCTTTAAGTTTCTTGCAACTTGATAATATGGTATTAAATTTTTTTAGTAATATTTGCTTTCGAACTTATGTATAATATAATACATATTTTGCAAGCGGGTATATAAAGTAGTAGTAATTATTCTACAAGTATGCAATATATTTTTTGCTATAAATGCAGAATTAGTAATACCAACAATATAATAAGATAGTGTACTCAGCCGTAGTATCGGGGCTGAATGTATTCTCTTTGCCCTAAATAAACGTTACTAAATAGACGAAGCAAATATCCAAATGTCTTCATTCTTTGGAAACCGTGCTCGAACTTCACAAATATTTACATTGCGCATGTAATTTTGCATTGCTTTAAATTAAATTGCTTTTTTTAGAAACTGTAATTTCTTTGAACACTTGCATTGAAAATGTACATCAATTTTCAAATGTATGTTGTTTTCTTTTTTATGTTTATCTGCAAAGAGACAAAAATACAAAATATAAATAACAAATGCTTCGTGGTTGAATTAAAAAGGGAAACGAACTACTATAAAATATATCATTCAATTTGGGTTAAAAAACTGTTCTTACAATTGGTAATAATTTACAACGTAATAATGCTTGGATTAAGACAATTCTACATTTTTAAACTGCTAGATTAAAAAAAATGTTTATAATGGATTTTGCTATTCAATAAAAAAAACCTTATAACCTTATTGCTTTTAAATCAAATTTTAATTAAAAGACATTTTAAAATTGTTTACATCATTATTCATGTTGGCTAATGACTCTCTTAAAAGATAAAGTTAATTAATTCTATTTTAATTTGACTTATTGGAAATTTTCTTATAATCAACATTTTTGATAAATGAAATTGAAACAGTATTTTATTAAACTGTAAATCAAATAGTTTTCAATATGGATACTGGTTATTCTATAGAGATAATTTTATGAGTCTGTAAATATCTATTAAAAAACAATTAGCATGTAATTAGTATATATACAAAGACGCCAACTCAATCAAATATGTACGAACTGAGTATCCTTTATATTTTTCAGCTATTTTTTCTATTTATACAGTACGAGCTTTGATCCTGAGCTGTTTCCGTTTGACGGGGTGATGTAGAGCTATGCACGTTCATATATACAAATGCGTGTAACAGCGTTAATAGCAGCAATAACAGCAATGGCTTTCATGTAGTTTGTAGCGAAGTCTGGTGGATGATGATGCTTGCGAAAAAATTTGGGACTATGAAAGCAAATAGGGATTATTCAAGGGATCAAAGCATTACGGTTTATCGACAAGAAAGGGAAGAGACAAAATGATAAGAAAAATATTACATGTATTTTCCCTCTTTTTGTCTTTTTATAAACATTAAATGTGACGTTATTACATACAAATAACTAACATGTATATACGATATACAATGTGTACATTGTGTATGATTAATGAAAGAGAAAATTAATAAATGAAAAAATATGAAAGTAAGAGTAATGCATACATTGCGAATACATTTAAGAAACAAAACTTTAAGAAAATATAAGTTATTTTATTAGATAATCTATAATATAAATGAAAGTTATGGCACGTTAGGTAAATTTATAATATGCTAGTAACTTATTAGATGTGTTCCTAATTATTCTGTATAGATCATTTCTTAAGTTTATTTTCATGTGGAATAAGTTTAATTTAACTCTTATTAACTATATAAATGGCATGTGATCTTGCGCTCGAAATTGTTATGTTACAGACTTATTGATTTATGCTTCACATGTATTATAATTTGTGAAATATGTTAATTTGTATATCTAAATAAATATCTTTTGTTATATTTGGTACATTAAAAGTAATGAAGTAATGTTTTTATGTTATTAATTAAGTATATATTTGAATATAATATTTGAATAAATAGAGGTTAATAATACCTTTCAGGTTATTAATAAATAAATAATACCTTTCAGGTTAACATTGCTAAAAAAATGTTTCGGTAACATTTCCAAAAAAAACTCTATTATATGTTTAAAAACTTGTATTAGATTTAAAATTTTAATACTTTTAATTTTATGTATATAATTTTAAAATACATTCGATATTTTTTAATGTGAATAATATAGAAATTTCATGTGTATTATAGATGTATTAATCATATATATATAAATATACGCTACATTAAACTTCATAGTAAGGTAAAAATATTACATTTTTCGTTTTTGTATTTTTATTTTCGCGTCGTAATTTATTGTGTGTCATGCTTGCACAGTGTATATATTTGCGAAACTACTTGATCTAAAAGATTTTTTTTGTGTCGACAGCTCTGGCATTGAAAATAATCCTGTCGTATTTTACCATTTAATGCCTGGATCGACTGCTCAAACTAACAAGATGCACACATTTTACCTACAACAACGATCTGAAAATTCTGTTACTTGGGCGGATATAAAAGTGAACCAACCCTTAGACTATGAAAGCATCAAGGAATATAACCTAACAGTGCGAGTTGAAGTATGTATATTATGACTATTTCTGATTTCCATACTATATAAAAACTCACATTACTGTTTTGTTATAATTTTAAAACATCAAATTTTCTAAATGAATATTTTACATTATTTCTTTAAAAATTTTAGTAAATAATTTTATTTTAATAGTAACAAATATATTTATTGAAAGCACAAGCTTCTTTATTAATTATAAACTCGTAGATAAATTTCGCTTTTGTTATTTTAAATAAAATTGTTATAATAATAAACAAATAAATTAATTAATAATTTATAATTAATAATCTGCACTTTTTTTAATTTGATATATTTTATAAAAATAAAAATAAAAATAAAATCTGATATAACTGTATATTATGAATTTCAGGAAATTTTATTTTTTGTTAATTTTATAGTATTGAACGAAAATTAATATATTTCTGAAATTGGCTGAAATTATTTGATTAAAAATTTTATTCTATTTATTGCATATGAGAAGTAATATAATAAAAAAATTAAGGTATAATAAATTTTTATCTTTTTCATTATCATTTTATAATTATGGATATTTTCATTTTTATCATTTTTCGAAATGATGAAATATTAAATGTGTGGTTCAAAAGTTCATGGTTTTAAAATATAAATATATGTCAAATGGTTGAATTAGATTCTCGATTGTTCAAATTACAAAGCATACGATTTTTTATTTCTATAAATTTAGATATATACTACATTAGAAAAATACTTCCATACAAAGAGATTAATAAAATTCTGTGTAATTTTGTTAATATAATTAGAATAATGGAGCACAGCAGTTAGCTTCGGAAACAACCGTTTTTATTATGCTGGAAGATGTAAATGATGAGATTCCGTTATTTACTGAACGTGAACAAGAGACGGTCTTGGAAGGTGAACCGATAGGGAGTAAAGTCACCCAAGTCAATGCTATTGATAAAGATGGTACCTTCCCTAATAACCAAGTTAGTGTATCACATACATTACTTTTAATTATTTAATAATTACTTCTTAACTATTCATCCGTCTGAATATTTAAGAATTTTATTTAAGAAAATTTAAAAATATTTAGTAATATTTAAATATATTACTAATAAAAAAAGGAATTTAATAATTATTTTTCAAAAACCAAATACTTCAAATTAAAATATTAATTAAAATAATTGTAAAATACTTTAAAACTTATTTAGAATATAAGTAAATAAAATAGTTGATGTAATAAGTAAGTAAATTTATCTTTGAAAAATTTATTTATATATATTCATTATGTACAATATCAAAGTTCAAAAGATATAAAAATATTTTTTACTTAATTCATTAAACACAATTTGGTTACGAATAACACTGCATTAAGCATGACATTATCTAGTGTTACCTATGCAACAATTAATATACTTCTATAATAATAGTAAAAAATTATGAGAACATTATATGTTGGTTTATGTATACGTAATTAAAAAACTCTGTAACATGATATTTACTGATATTAATAATTAGAAAATACTATGTGATGATTAAAGAAAAATTTCAAATAGCATTGAATAATACAAATACTAGTACAGTAATATCTGTATTTTTTTATAAAAGATCCAAAACTGGTAATGAAATAATTTATTATGCAATTTAGAATGTCCAATATGATATTTGATTCAACCATAATTAATAAATAAATTTAAGGACATATTTATAAAGCAACTAAGTATTTGTAAAGCAAACTAATGTAGGAAAACAGATAAAAAGATTTTTAAATACAGAGAATAAGAATTAAAATTTCATTTTAATTTTTCTTTTATTCATTTAGAATTGATAATACCGAACTGTAGTAACGAATTTATTGTAAGTTTTCGTCGCTTTTTTATAATGTGCGATTTGTAACTATGATTTTTAGGAAAATCGATAAAAAAAACAACTTTCCATATTCAATTTCACATATTTATATTTTTCATAGAAAATATTTGTGAAGGTCATCTTTTTATATTGATCAAATAATCCTTTTACTAAATACTGATAAAATCAGATTTACAGAAAGTTAGATAAATAATTACTTTATTATACAAGTCAATTGTATATTATAATATTGTACTAATATCCAGCAAGTAAGCGAGAGAGGATAAGTAACGATTCATTGCTTTTTTATATTGAAACTCTGCAAACATTTATAATAATCTGTTTTAATTTAAAAAATTCTACATTTTTACAAAGTAATAAGTACGAAAGTACAAAAAATATCTGAGTATTATATTAAAAAATTGTTCAGAACATTTAAATACCTATTTTTAATTGTATTTTTTTAACTTACAATTTAAAGCACTTATTTAAATTATTAAATTAATGGAAAATTATAATCATTTAAAATCAAACATTTTTCTTCCGAAACCAATGTAGAAATTCAAGAATCAACTAAACTAATTAGAAATCGATAAGTACTGCCGTTTTCCAAAAACAGATTATTAATGATTAATTATAGTTGATTCAAATATATTCGTGTACGGTTTCAAAAATCAAAAACAGTGTATTATATATTAATCCCAACACATCTAATTAAATATATTGATAACTTAAAAACATTAAGTGTTATTTGATGTATATATACTAGTCTATTTACTTATTATGTAAAATATAAAATTGTTACATAGGTTATTAATTCTCTTACCTATCTACATAGATTATTTAATTAATTTGATCGTTAATTAAGGTTTAAAACTAGTCACAGAACATAATATGAATTAAATGATTTATCGAGTACAATTCATTTTATATATCATAGCATTCTATGGAAATGAACTTGTTGAAAGACTATTGAAAATTAAGAGTCACGTTAATCAATCGACATTTTGCTAGCAAAATTAATTTGTATTTTATTTTTTTGATTTTATGAAAAAATTTGCAATGTCAGAATTAAGATGTTAATTTTACCAATAACCTAAAAAAGATTTTCAAAATTTAACACCATTGAATTACACTAGATAAAGACAATAGGTTATAATTACAATTTAGAATATACAAGAATTTGAATGCCTAGTATAAAACAAATATATAATATTATAACTAAAAGAATATTACATAATTAGTTTAAATATATATTAATTTAATTGAGAATTTTAATTTTTAGTAAATCAAAGGATACTATAATTAATAAAATCAAATATTTTTTGAATTTTACAAAATTTATATTTTTCTTAAACTTTCATTACACTGCATCCTTATAATTAATTGGTCAAGATTTTTTAAAAAGTTTTTGCTTTATAATAATATATAGTTTTATAATGATTTGTTGTATTATGAGTTGTGTTATGGTTTTTCATAACTTATGGTCTTTATGAGCAAATTTTTTTTACTTATTTTCAAACGAATTAACAATGGCAGCCAATTAGTATGAAGTTACTGTACAACATTCTAAAAATGATTAAGATATTAGTCAATATCTCAGATTGTTTAATAAATTGTAATTTACTTAATTGCATTGATCTTGAAAAGTTAAATTAGGAATTAGCTACTAAGAAATGTGAAATGAAAATGTATTAGTCAAGACAATATCTATAAATTAAGTAAGAATAAAATTGAGAAAGAATGTACAATAAATTCCATCTTTTAGCATAATACAACTTGAGATTTACAGATGCATATGAAACTTTTTTTTTTTAATTTGACACTTGTATTATCGTACTTCAAGCATTAATCATGAAACAACCAGCATGCAAATACATATTGTCTATTTCACTAAAATAAAATAAGATTTACAAAATATATATATATATATATACATACAAAATATATACAAAATATATATTTATATTAACATTTATACACCTATAAATAAATATTTTCAATATTAATGTTGTGAAGATTTAGGGAAAATGAATATGAGATAGTAAGATATAAATATATATATATTTAATAAGATACACTTACAAAGATACTTGACTTTTTATCTCGAGTTAATATATATATCACGCATAATGTTTAAATTCAATTAACAATGACACATAAAATACGTATTTAGATTCTTATTAAATTGATTCCAACTAAAACAGCATTATAAATTTCAGTCGCTTAAAATATTAGTAATACGTTTTTAATACAAATTAAAACTACTTTTTAAAAAGGCTTTAAAATAGTTATATTAGATATTTGTGACAAGAATTTTAAATTATTTTTTAAAGCTCTAATACATATGGTAAGCATGCAGATATAATTCTAAAGCAATACGAATAGTTTAGTTTAAAAGCAAAGAAGTAAATGCTGAAACCGAGAAAAACTTTTATTTTTGCTCAGATTTTACAGTAACATTTATTTTTTTTATTATTGTATATACAGGTTACGTATTATGTAGTAGACAGTGATCGAAATGAAGGGAAAGATTACTTTGAAATCAATAGAGAGACCGGCGAGATCTTCACAAAGATTGTCTTCGACCGTGAGAAACAAGGAGCTTATGCTCTTGAAGTTGAAGCAAGAGATGGGTCACCGTCGGCACGACCAAACAGCAATGGACAACCTAATTCAGGTTTGCAAGGATTTATTTATGTCTATAATTAAAAGGTAAATCTGATATTTATAATAATAATTAAAAATTTACAATAAAAATACGTATTTAGTATTAATAGCTTTAGGATTATTCCTTTAATATAAATTTAAAATTCTATATACAAAAATTAATTTACTGTAAAAATGAAGTGTATATCAATATTAAATTTTTTTACGCAAGCCAAATTTATTAATATAAGTTTTATTAATATGTCACGAAATAATCACAATATTAATGAAAAATGTCTATGTTGCAATTTAATACATATTGTTTGATTATTAAGGATTTGTTTTATGGTTTGAACTGCCAATTCAATAGTTCAGTGGATTAATCTCTCGTCATGATAACTTAAAAGGAAATAATAAGTGGAAGGGCTGAAAAATATTATGTATTATGTATTTTTAGTGAAACAATGTTTATTATTTATTAAATATTATAATCATATTGCACTATTGTTGAGAGAAAATTATTCTATTGTAGTAGTGAGGGCGTTTTCTTGTGTTCTTCATTATTGTAAATGCTATTGGAATTATTGTGTATCTTGAGAATTGAGGTTATGCTGATGTTGTAAATATCAGCCTGTGTGTCGATCATGCTCATGAAAGAGCATGAGAAGTTGGTGTTTGAAATCAAGTATGCTTGGTAGAAAGAATGATCATACTTGATAAAGTGTAAAAAGTCTTGATGGAAATTGGTGCGTAATCAATTATGTCTTTAGTTATAATGACAGCAGTAGAAAGGACTAGACACATGCAAGTCATAAATGACAAGCCTTCGAGCTTTGAAGGAATTGATGAACATGTATTTATAGTCGATTATTCTATAAACGGTTGTCTAGCCTTGACAATGTAATTGACGTATTGCGTCACTTGTGTCGACTGTTTGAGGGACTGCACAATTACGAAGTATTAATTCGAGAGAACGTGCTCATTCCCACTCGATTTTTTAAAGGCAGTTTTCTGAAGCGTGATTTAGCGCATGTGTAACTAGCTTATTTAATAATATAAGGAGAAGTACCTGTTCTCTGCTGAAGGCAGACCGAGACCCGTACCATGGCTTCTACTAGTAGAGGGTTAGATCGGTTCACTGCAGTCGAGTCATGGCAAGATGTTAGCAGCAAGCGCAGTTCAGTAAGAGGTAGCTTCAGCAAAAGTGGTTCAGTAAGAGAGGGAGGCACGCCGCGTGCTTGCCTTATATATCTACGCGACGGCTCAGTTAGCCGGCAACAAAGCATCGTCGTTGCTGCACTGGGATATTATATGAGGCGCAGAAAGAAAAATCTAGATCTTTCGAGAATTCGACGAAAGAAAAAATAAGGCGTAATAACGTTCGAGAATCCGGGGCGATGTTATTACTCGAAGACCATATAAACATTGTGGGCCATTTGAAAACAAAACATAATAAGTATACGATAATTCTCGCCCAAGTGTTTACATAAAATCTGAGATCTAAAACGCCGGCGATGCCGACAATCGGCGGTCTTTGAAACTGGCTTCAATCTCGAACACATATGGATATTAAAAATTTTTTTAATTTTGATCAATCAGCAATTCATATCAATTTAATAGTTTATTAAATATTAATAACATAATATTTTTTACAAAAAATTTTTTTTCAAGTTTTCACCATTTCTATAAAATGAACATATTAAAAAAAACTATATTTATCTATATTTTTGATTGAAATTTTGATTAAAAGCATATTAATAGATGTAATATAAAACCTTTTCTTGTTTGAGTCTTGAATAATTTTACACTCGAAGCAGATCATACATAAAAATGTTATATTATAATTGTCATTTTGAAACAAATAGCGTAATATATATTTTCATTTATCTATTAATTCATACTCATATTCATATTTATATATATTAAAAATTTACATAATATTATAAAGATGGAGTATTTGTTTTTTATAACAATGTATATGCTTTTGTAAATTTTAAAACTATACTAAAATTTAGTTACCAATAAAAAATTTAGATATAAAAGTAAAAAAAATATTTATCTTAATAAAGCATAAATATAATTCATTAAAATTGACTAATGTTATAGTCACGATCTATTTACTTAAGAATATTGAATTTTAAAATAAAATGATCTCTCTCTTGTTTGTCTTTCTATACATTTTTAATTGTAAACCTCTTATTGGAAATTTAAAAAGCTTAAGCTAAACGAGATGGGATACAAAAATTCATTATGCTTTTATTATATTTGCCTAACCTATTAACTATCTTTTTGTTTTTGTTTTTTCGGGCTATTTCATCGTTCCATTAATCTTTTTTAAAAAGATTTCACCTGTCACTTCGACAGATTCTTATAGTTTAAAAAAAAAAAATTTAATCCGAAATATACCTACATTTATGATAAAATATATGTTTATTTTATAACCTATTGAAATTATCAGTATAATGCTGATATATCGACTTACGGATACGTAACGCGGGAAAATATTTCAAAGTTTCGATCGAAAAATATATCAATCGAATAATTCTGCTGTCTATATGTATTTAAGTATTTACTTCATTAGAAAACCACTTTTATTAACTAAAGATATTTTATTTACTTATTTAATTTATTTCTATACTTACATTTTTCACTTCTTGAATTTATATTTAATTTTTAAAGTATTTAATCTATTTAAGATTGAAATTAAAATTAATTATATATTCATTGTGTTCGGAATTCCAGTAATCCAGCGGTCGAAGAACAATGATGGTTGGATTAGACCATGTCCACCAGTTTACTAGTGGGAAAAGTGTGGTTAAGTGGAGGGGTTAATGCTTCGATTCAGTATTCAACACATTTGCTTTTCGTGCTGTTTATTGTATTTTATTTTACAACTACACAATTGTGATTCTACGTTGAAGATGAGAATTGTTGACGTCTTGCCGTTGCATCGTGGTTTCCATGTGGTAGCATGCACTACATGTCGAGGTAGGAGGTCGTAAATCTCTGGACACCTCTTAGTGTAGTGCTATTTGGTGGTGTCTTGGTGAGAGTCTCCTCTTGACGTTATGTGGTGTGGAAGGGGGAAGAAATAGTTCAATACCTCGAATGTGGCACCTATTGTTAGCGAGTGCTGTGGCACTTATTGCTAGTGAAAGCAGTAGCACTGATTGATATTGACTGCTTGCGATGTCGTGCTACAGAATGCAGTATCACTGATTGATACTGAATGCTTGTAATGTCGTGATATAAATTACCTGCCACCGGCTTGTGCGCTTGGGCTCGCTGCTTGCGGTTAGAGACTGAGGGAATGCCTTCGCACGATGCTTGAAGTTTCCTTGATTCTTCAAGTCTTTGAGTCGTCTTTGACTTTGAATCGTGGAGGTTGCTACTATCTCAATTGAAGAATTCTCAAACAGTATTATATTGTATCACAGTGTTATCGATTTCTTCTTCCAACTCCTTTAATGGACAGTAAGCTACTTGAATGCTTGCGCAGTTTGACAGTGTGTTCCCTCCGTGGTGGCTCAGGTAATAGCAGTCGAATACACACACGAAGCTGAACGCGTGTTAATTCCGTGTCGGCTCTGCTTAGAGAGAGCGACTGTTCCATGGCGGTCCTGCTAAGACAGATCGTGTTCAGTGCCATGGCGTCTTCACTAAGAGAGTCCCCGGTAAAAGAACGTGACACTTGTCGCATGCTTGCTGTATATCCACATTACAGTTTAGTTAGCTGGCAACAACGGATAGGTGTTGCTATACGGAAAACATTGCAGGACGTTCGAGAGTGTAAAGCTTTAGAATATTCGAGAATTCTTAGAATCAAATGTTTACAAAAATTCGACAGCTAGAAGGATTGTAAAATTCCGAAATCCAAAGGTCTTGGAAGATACTCCAATCCTGAACACATTGATCTTAATTCTAATCAATTTTTTATTAAGTTTTTTATATTCTAATTAATTAGACAATTCCAGTAGTCTATCGTAACATTATAACATTGATTTTTTATTTCAATGCTTGGCTTAGTATCAGTAGTAATACTTATATCACATACATATTTATACAAAACAAATTATTGTTTTTCATTTGTTCTCAATCTTCTCAATCTTTCTTGAATTATGACTATTTTATGTAGAGTGATTGTATGAAAAACAAAAGCTAATTATTAATCGAATATTTCTGTTGAAAATTATTAATAGGATTAAATGAAATAAATAAATTAAAAAAAAATCTATTTCATTACTTGTTTAGTTATAAAATTATAGAAAGGTACTTATTTCAACCTTATATTACTGTGACTGATTTTTTTTAATTTTAATACTCAAATCGTTTTTCTAATAAATGAGAAGTCTATTTAAAAAAACTTCATTTAACTGTCACGAAATAGTATCGATCCAGTTTTAAGGATACTTGATATTCCTTATCTAAAAAATGTATAAGTAGTAAAAAAATAGTAAATTTGGTAATTTTTTAATACAAACTAATACTTATACTTCATTTGAATAATTGTGATAAAATAGAATAATTAATAAAAATCATTATAAATTGCTTAATTATATATTTATATCAAAATATAAAATTCACATTCTCTTAAAGAACAAATACTTTACAATAATATATTTCAAATTATTATTAAATATTACTATTATAAAGAAATTACAAACAATTATAAGTAATTATTCATATATTAACTTAATTATGACTTAATTTGAATAGCTTTTCATTGATTCATTTTTGATGATAAGATGTTGAACAAATTAAAATTAAACCGATTGAAATTATTTTCATTCATCAAATATAAAAATGAATGTAAGTCTTTCTGTTATACTACAGTTACGAAATTTATTCGAATTGGAATTGCTGATAAAAACGATAATCCACCTTACTTTGATAAGGGTCTTTACGAGGCTGAAGTCGATGAAAATGAAGATATTCAACATACTGTTCTTACTGTTACCGCCAAGGATCACGATGAGTGTAAGTTTTATTTTTTAACAAAAAACTTAAATGATATCTTAATATTTTATCATATAATTATAATTAATTCAGAAGCAAAACGAAATATCAAAAATTATTTTTAATTTTAAATTTAATAAAAGAAACTCTTTTACACATCCAAGTATTGCATTATAATAATTACATTAAACAACTGAAATTAAATAATAAAATATAGTTTTATGTAATTAAATTATTCGACGTATTATATTATTTATTGAATACATAGTATTAAACAAAGTTCAGTCGCTTTAAAATAGTATTTTTATTTATGAGAAATGGAAAATTTTCTGAAATTTTTATGGAATATGAAATATTGTGCAATTATATACATTTTCATAAAACTGATAAAATAGGTGTAACAATAAATTAAAATTATTATTAATACAAGAATTGACATAAAAATATTTATTTATAATATGTAGTAAATTATGTATATTTCGTTTAAAATTATAGGTAATTACTTTTCTATATTTTAAATAAAAATAATGCTTAGGTAATTTTAATTTAATTCACATATTATTTCATACCCGTTTTTTATAAAAAATTTTTAAAATAAATTAATTTGTATAAATATTTTTTTGCAGCATCACGTATTCGATATGAGATTACAAGCGGTAATATAGGTGGTGCTTTTGCTGTAAAAAATATGACAGGAGCAATTTACGTTGCAGGAGCGTTAGATTATGAAACAAGAAAAAGGGTAAGTGATTTATAAGATATGAAAGAAAAGATTTGTAAGATATTAAGTTTTCGTATCTAATTGAAACTGTATTTACATAATAAAGGTTTTAAAATATAATTTTTTTTATTTTCGAGTCTATTGTATTTCAAATTTTTTATAAATTTAAGTATTTTAAAATAACAATTAATATCTATTTATGGTATCACACATTGATATATTTTCAATATAAATTTTAACATATAATTGTATAAATATTAATATCTTACTTTTATTAATATCAATATATAATCAATCAAGCACCAAAGTGCTTGCATTAATATAAATTAAACTAAATTTTCAGTATGAATTAAGACTAACTGCATCTGATAATTTAAAAGAAAATTATACTATCGTCGTTATTCACGTAAAAGATGTAAATGACAATCCGCCTGTTTTTGAGCGACCCACATATAGGACTCAAATTACCGAAGAAGATGATAGAAACCTACCAAAACGTGTATTACAGGTGAGCTATTAGATTGATTATTAGATATTATAAAAACAAAGTATAAAAAATAGAGACTAGTAACCCGATATTTATTGTTATATGAGTGTTTTATAGGTAACTGCTAGCGATGGGGACAAAGATAGGAAACATGATATTGTTTACTTCTTAACTGGTCAAGGTATTGATCCAGATAATCCAGCAAACAGCAAGTTTGATATTAATAGAACTTCTGGTGATATACGTGTACTTAAGGTATATATTAATTTTAAAAAATTTTTTACTTTACATTTATAGTTATTAGTATTATTAAATTTGAATAATTATTTTGGATAATTATCTTTTACAAATAGTTAAATATTTTAAACTAAATTAATTTAAATTTATACCTACATGTTTCAGCCATTGGATAGGGATCAACCAAATGGTCGACCACAATGGCGATTCACAGTATTTGCACAAGATGAAGGTGGAGAAGGTCTTGTTGGATATGCAGATGTGCAAGTTAATTTAAAAGATATTAATGATAATGCTCCACTATTTCCACAAGGAGTTTATTTTGGTAATGTGACTGAAAATGGAACAGCAGGTATGTATTAATACAATTTATAAAGCACGGAATACAAATACATACATATACATAATTTTATATTTGTGACATATTTGCAAGAATATATGCGATTCTATTAAATGATATAAGAATAATAAACCTGATTGCTTAAAATAGGCATGGTTGTAATGACAATGACGGCGGTAGATTATGATGATCCCCATGAAGGAACAAATGCAAAACTGATTTATTCAATCGAGAAGAATGTTATTGAAGAAGAAACAGGTTCACCTATTTTTGAAATTGAAGCGGATACCGGTGTCATTAAAACAGCTGTGTGTTGCCTAGACAGAGAACGAACACCGGATTATTCGATACAAGTAGTTGCCATAGATGGAGGAGGTTTAAAGGGTATATATGTAAATCTTTATATTTAACGAAAGATAATATTAATAAAATATATTAAAATTGGTATTTTCTATATTTTTGTTTGCGTTTAGGGACAGGCACAGCATCAATAAGAGTAAAAGATATAAATGATATGCCACCTCAATTCACAAAAGATGAGTGGCTTACTGAAGTCGATGAAACTGATGGGCCAGACCTTCCAGACATGCCCATTCTTACAGTAACTGTTCACGACGAAGATGAAACAAATAAATTTCAGTATAAGGTTTCTAAATCTTGTCATGAATATTATAAATGATTTTTTTTTCTTTAATATTTTCTTTTCATTTTAATATTATTAAACTTTATTATAGGTGATCGAAAATAGTGGATATGGTGCAGACAAATTTACCATGGTACGTAACAATGATGGAACAGGATCACTCAAAATAGTTCAACAATTAGATTATGAAGATCAACTGCAGAGTAATGGCTTTAGATTTAGGATTCAAGTTAATGATAAGGTAAAAATTTACTATAAATATATTTTATTTTTACATGAAAATATAGTATAGACTTTTAATATTTATAAATATTTTGTACAGGGTGAAGATAATGATAATGACAAATATCATGTTGCTTATTCATGGGTGGTTGTTAAATTACGAGATATTAATGATAATAAGCCACAATTTGAAAAAGCTAATATTGAAGCAGTAGTTCCAGAAAATGCTATAATTGGAAATACTTTAGAAACATTTAATGCCACGGATCCTGATCAAGGTGGGAAAAGTAAAGTATCGTATTCTATTGATAGAACTTCTGATAGGAAACGGCAGTTCTTTATTAATGAAAACGGAACTGTGTCTATCCAAAGAAGTCTCGATCGTGAAGAAACACCAAGACATCAAGTTAGTTATTAGCGTATTTAATTTAATTTGAATATTATTTGAAATAAAAGAAAATAAACAATTTTTGTAGGTAAAAATCTTAGCTATTGATGATGGTATTCCTCCGAAAACTGCAACAGCTACGCTAACTGTCATTGTACAAGATATTAATGATAATTCTCCAACATTTTTAAAAGACTATAGACCAGTTTTACCTGAATTTCTACCACCACGAAAAGTGGTTGAAATCTTAGCAACGGACGATGATGATCGTTCGAAAAGTAATGGACCACCATTTACATTTAGAATGGATCCAAAAGCTGATGATGTTATTAGAGCTAGCTTCAAAGTTGAAAGTGATAATAGTATGCTTTAAAAATATATGTTCTTATTGTATATAAATCTTAATGCAGAATTTAAAATTCTTTATGACATTTTAGAAGGCGCAAATGGTGACGGCATGGCTATTGTTTCATCCCTCCGAACATTTGACAGGGAACAACAAAAGGAATATCTTATACCAATTGTTATTAGAGATGCTGGTCATCCATTGATGTCTGGAACAAGTACTTTAACAGTAATAATTGGAGATGCTAATGATAACAAAATGCAACCTGGATCTAAAGATATATTTGTATATAATTATGCGGTGAGAAAAAATAGGAACTTTTGATATAAATATTTGAAATATATCAATACCAAAATATATTATATATATATATATATATATATATATAAATTTATTTAGGGACAGTCACCAGAAACTGAAATAGGAAGAGTATATGTGTATGATTTAGACGATTGGGATTTACCTGACAAAAAATTCTATTGGGATGGAGCTGAACATGATCAATTTAAATTTAATGAAGATACGGGTATGATTTATATGAAATCGGGAACACATGATGGCAAATATTATCTACGTTTTAGGGTATATGATAGAGCACATACACAAACAGATATACCAGCAAACGTTACTGTAACTGTTAAAAGTATTCCACATGAAGCCGTTTTAAATTCTGGATCTGTTCGTATATCAGGAGTAACTGATGAAGACTTTATTAGAGTTTGGAATTATAAAGTAAATATTAACTAATTTTTTTAATTTAAGATATATAAAAATTGTAATGATTATATCTTTCATTTTTATATTTACACGAAATTATTTATTAATACAAGATATATATTTTTCTTAGACGCAAAGCTTATCTCGAAGTAAAGCTGACTTATTTAGAGATAAACTAGCAGTACTTCTTAATATTGAACGAGAAAACGTAGATGTATTTAGTGTTCAATTAAAAAGAAAACATCCTCCTTTAACCGACATTAGGTTTGCTGCTCATGGTTCGCCTTACTACAAACCTGTTCGACTAAATGGAATTGTTTTAATGCATCGTGAAGAAGTAATGTTCTTATTGTTAGATTTTTTATAAATTCAATCTAAGTATAAAATATTCATGTAATTTTAGATTGAAAGAGACGTTGGTATTAATATAACTATGGTTGGAATCGATGAATGCTTCTATGAAAATGAAATCTGTGAAGGTAGCTGTACAAATACTTTGGAAATCAGTAGCTTGCCTTATATGGTGAATGCTAATAAAACAGCTTTAGTTGGTGTACGGGTTGATGTAATCGCTGAATGTACATGTGGAGCTCGAAATTTCAGTAAAAATGAATCTTGTAGGAATAACCCATGTTATAATGGTGGTCGTTGTTTAGAAGGACGATTTGGTTTAAGGTAAACGTTGTAAATATATTACTACAATATTTCTTAAATTTTTTTAATAACTATTATTAATTAATAATTTATTTTATGCTATTATAGTTGTCAATGTCCAAGTGGATATAATGGACCAAGATGTCAGCAAATAGCAAGGAGTTTTCGTGGTAATGGATGGGCTTGGTATCCAGCCCTAGAAATGTGTGATGTCAGTCATTTAAGCTTCGAATTCATAACGAGAAAATCGGATGGTTTACTTCTATATAACGGACCTATTGTGCCTCCAGAATTGGATGAAATTATGGTTTCTGGTAAGCAACTTGATTATTTAAACTTAAATTATAATAACTCGATAAAGCACTATTACTTAATTTTATAATTTTAGATTTTATATCCGTTGAATTGGAACGAGGAATTCCTAGACTTCTCATAGATTTTGGTTCTGGAACATTGGAACTAAAAGTTAAAACAAAATTAACACTCGATGATGGCGAATGGCATAGGTTGGATATATTTTGGAATACTGAGGTAATAAATGATTTTTAAAAATTTAGAATGAAATATTATAACTAAGATAAAAAATAATGTATGTTAACAATTTTAGACAGTTAAACTTATAGTTGACTTCTGTAAATCTGCTGAAATATTTGAACAAGATGACGGTAAGGTTCCAGAATTTAATGATATCACTTGTCAAGCGCAAGGCACTATACCGCCATTTAATGAATATTTGAACGTCAATGCTCCATTACAAATCGGAGGGTTATATGTTGAACAATTCGAACCTGATCAATATAAATGGAAATATATGCCAGTTGGCAAGGGTTTTGATGGCTGCATTAAAAACTTATTTCATAATAGTAAATTATATGACTTGGCGCATCCAGGTTTATCAAGAAACAGTGTAGCTGGATGTTCTCAAACGGAAGAAATATGTAATAATCAAGAATCTACGTTCCGTTGTTGGGAACATGGAACCTGTGTGGGAAGTTTTTCAGAAGCTAAATGTCATTGTAATCCTGGATGGACAGGACCTGGTTGTATGATTCCGACAGTACCAACAACATTTAAAATTCAAAGTTATGTTAAGTACGCTCTTTCATTTGAGCCTGATAAATATTCGACTCAAATTCAATTACGATTCCGTACAAGAGAATTACATGGCGAACTTTTTCGTGTCAGTGATCAACATGGTAGAGAATATGCTATCCTTGAAATTAAGGACACTCGACTTCGCTTCAAATATAATTTAAATAGCTTTAAAACTGAAGAGCGTGATATTTGGTTAACAGCAATTGCCGTAAATGATGGACAATGGCATACTGTTAGAGTTTCTAGATTTGGATCAGCAGCAACGTTAGAACTTGATGGTGGTGAAGGTAGAAGATTTAATGAAACTTTTTCTTTTGAAGGACATCAATGGCTGCTTGTTGATAAACAAGAAGGTGTTTACGCTGGTGGTAAAGCAGAATATACTGGAGTACGAACTTTTGAAGTTTATGCTGATTACCAAAAAGGTATTTTTAAATTAATTTTATAGTTTATAAAAAATACTTTATTTATCCTTTTAAATGATAATAATTTTACGATTAGGTTGTTTGGATGATATTAGACTAGAAGGTAAACATCTACCATTGCCACCAGCTATGAATGGAACACAGTGGGGACAAGCTACTATGGCTAGAAATCTAGAAAAGAACTGTCCTTCTAACAAGCCCTGTGCTAATATAATTTGTCCTGATCCGTTAGAATGTATTGATCTTTGGAATCAATATGATTGCACGTAATAACATAAATATAACCTTGTTTAATAAAAAGTTTTTTATTCCAGCTATTTAAGAAATATTACTTGATAATTAACATTTTCTTTAAAGATGTGGAGAAGGTAGAATACCATCACCAGATAATAAAGGTTGTATGGACAAAAATGAATGTATAGATTATCCTTGTTTAAATGGAGGACGATGCATTAATGAAGATCCTCGCTTTCGGTATCGATGTATTTGCCATGATGGATTTTGGGGTGAAAATTGCGAACTTGTACAAGAAGGACAAACTTTAAAACTCAGTATGGGTGCTCTTGCTGCTATTTTAGTCTGCCTTCTTGTTATTCTTGGTAAAATTGCCTTATTTTTAATAAATAAGATATATACTGATTCAATATTTATTTAAAAATTATTTTATCTTGCAGTTCTTGTACTAGTATTTGTAGTATATAATAGAAGAAAAGAATCACATATTAAATATCCAGGACCTGATGATGATGTTCGAGAAAATATTATTAATTATGATGATGAAGGAGGTGGTGAAGACGACATGACTGCATTTGATATAACACCTCTACAAATTCCCATATGTAAAGCTATTCCTGAAATAGGAAAATTGCCATCATGCAAAGTGGCTTGTTAGTATTTTATTGAAATAAAATATTAATTTTTATTTAAAACAATATTAATAAAATACTTCCTTTTATATAACAAAGATCCAATAGGACCTGAACATAATGTAGGGACATTTATCGAAGATCACAAAAATAGAGCAGATAGTGATCCTAATGCACCTCCTTTTGATGATTTACGAAATTATGCATACGAAGGTGGTGGTAGTACTGCTGGCTCATTATCATCTCTAGCTTCTGGTATGAATATTAATTCTGTACTCAAAAGAAAATTATATTATTTTTTTTATAATATTAAAAATATAAGTGTTTTAAGCATACCTATTGCAAAGATAGGTAATTTCAATTTAATTAATTTGTCATATGGTAAATTAAATACATAAAGAATACTTTGAAATGTTAAAATTTCATGTAGAAAAATTTATTTCAATTTAAGTGGGTACAATATAAAATTATAATATTTACCTTTTATACAAATAGTATAAAATGTGTAATAATTAACATAGTCAAATTACATATTATTTTTTAAACACAAGTGATATATTTTTATTGATATACAACTGAACTAAATTGATTTTTAGTGCAAAATCTATTCTTAATCAATTGAAAATTGTTCTATACATCTTTTCTCTCCATGTTATATATATTAAAATTAAATCTGGTTGATATTATATTTTATTATTAGGTACTGATGATGAACAACATGAATATGAATATTTAGGTAATTGGGGCCCTAGATTTGATAAATTAGCAGATATGTATGGTCGTACTGAGCATGGAAGTGAAGAAGAGTAAACTACTCTATTGTAACCAAAAACAATTTCTATAATTATGTTTAAAAGTTTTAAGCAATCATCGTTATCTATTTATACAGTAGCGATTTATTAAAAAAATTTGTTTAATAAATAATTATAAGTTACTAGAAACATCTGAAATGAATAATGGTATTTTTGAAAAAGTAATCAAAGAATAATTAAGAGATTTAATATATAAATTTTTCTTAACTTAAAAGGAACTTTACCTAACAAAGAACTGTAGATGCAATACGTATTGCTTACTCATTGCAAGACGAAAATAACTTCACTGAAAGTTTTGCATAATTAAATACTGCATTACAGATTTACTTAAAATTGTTCATAAATATTTAGTTGTGCTTTAAATTTTACAATAATTTTAATGAAAGGTAAGAACATTGTAACGGTTGAAATCTACAAATGCTTTAATAGATTTTAACAAATGGGACAATTTGTATTATAATACATTACTATTAATAGTAAGCATTTTACGTATAACGATTTAACATGAAATGTTTTCTTGTCGTTAATTTTTTACATTATTATAATTTAATTAAAAATAGTTAGTTATTACTAGTACTTGCATGTATATACTGACATTAAAATAAGATTGTTTAACTATTTATTATTATATTATCATATAAAAATTTATATATTAATCGCTTCCATAGATACGCTGACCTAGCACATAAATATTATAGCAATTCAACTTTCATTAAAGGATCATCTTCAAATACTATTTAAAATACTCATTAATATGTGCTACATATATTACGAACAAAATTTATATTATTATAGATGAATATGTATAATACAATATAATGGTTTTATATGCATATATATATGCAAAATTGATATCATAAAATACAAAGTCGTATTAAAGGTCTTATTATAAATTTATAAAAAAAATGATAATTCTTTAATACAGATCAAAAATGGCAAAGCGCTTTACTATTGTACCAAAGGATAGAAATATAGCACTTTCGACAGCTAAAATTCTATTTAGTTATAAATCAAAGCAACTAAATTTCTCGTACGTAAAGTAATCACTGTGTATATAAAGTTATTATTAAAAATTTGTAGGGTCATTATAGTGTTCACTCATTTTATGTGCCGTTTCCTTTCGTAGAATTTAATGAGGAAAATTTCTATTTTTTTTATAAAATCTTATTCCAATTAACAACGATTCATTATGTGTATTCACGCGATAATTACAAGAATTGTAAGCAAGTTAATGAACATTTCTATATACAAAAATTTGCATTATATGTTCTGCAAAAAGGTTTTGAGGTTGTTTGTTTTTTATTACAAAAACAGTCTTATACACTATTAATAATACGATTGTATTGTTTATATGTATTAATAGTTTTTCACTTGACTGCCGATTTATAAAACCCTAAATGGGAATTGAAAAATAGTCAATTTACTTATTAGGTATTAACATGACGGTTAATCTTTAAGCGAAAAATACATAAATATAAATAATAAAGATAATTAATCTATGAAGAAATGTGTGATTAAAAGTGTAAAGAAGTGTAAATGGGTATAGTCCTATATTCTGCATTATAGAAAAGTTAACGTATTCAACAAAATTATACATTGTATATGTTGATGCGTTACACAATTTTAGAATTGACCTATCAATTTTCTTACTATCGTATAGTTTTTTTACGATTTGTGATATTAATTTTCGAGGAATGTATAAGTATGCGTAGCTTTAGTTGAAAAGAACTATATTTACGTTTTACTTGACGTAATTTTAGATATTAAAAAATAAATCGAACTTTCAAAAAGAATTTTTATATTCTAATTTCTATCACTTGTATTATATTTAAATTACATTTTTAATCATCATAAACGAATTACAATTTTAAATCAATTCGATTAATTTTATTAGCAAGCATTTCTTATTGTTATACTTATTATAACTAGTTTATTTAATGATATTGTTAGTATTGCTCTCTTTTTTTAAAACAGTGTCTTGTATACTTTATTTTGGCACTCATTTTAAAATGTCTATTCACATACTCGGCAATAATAAATCGAGAGATTATTATTAAAATCCAATGGCGTGGTGCATGTGTACAGTGGCGGGAGAAAAATACTTTAGTTAAGATTCATTGTCAAACATTAAATAACTATTTATATAATATTTCATTTCAATTACCGGTTTCGGCTCTTGGCATTCCAAAGAATATTAAATTTTATTTTTATAAATTAATAAACCATATGAAGAAGTATAAGAATTGAAAGGATTTTGATTCTTATTTGATTGGTATTGACGATACCAACTTATTGATCTTGATTGAAATTAATTAATAAATAAAAATGAATATAAAAATCCAAGACTTTAATACGTATAATTTTATTCATTATTCATTCATGATATTCGATTTCTTATTTAAAAAATTTACTTATTCACAAGTAGAAGTCGGTGTTGAACCAAAAAAATATTTTTGTTTATACTGTATATACTCAAGTGTACTTATATTTTGTATAATATCATATTACTTTAATAAATAAAAATATATTAATAGCGATTAATGATTTTTTAGAAGAAAAGATGCTTAAAATCATATCGTGAACTTTTTCATACTACCCAGCTAAAAGAAATATTGAAAATGTGCAGTTTATCTAATAAAAATCTATAATAGAATAACAAATTATATATACAAACAATATCGCGGGATGCTCAGTGCCGATTTCGATATAACTACGTGGTTAAAAAATCATTAGTTCTACTGTTTTTATCGTAGCGATCATTATACAGATACTGTAATATATGAATACATAGATGATAAATATAGTTATATATAAATACATATATATCTATACTGCCACTGAACACATCTTGTTAGTGAAATTATACAGTATAATATTAGTTTACAAACAATAAAATCAATATTATTAATTATATTCTTGTATTATTAATTAATTTAAATATTTAACAATTTATGATAAAATATAATTGTCACTATATTATTAATACTATTTGTACTTTTATCATTTTACATTTCAAACGGAATAAAAATGCCTTCATTTTAATATAATCACGTTGGAGAAAACTATATTATTAAACATAAATATGCTTAAATGGATATATTATTTTAATGTTTTTGTATTTTATAATTAAAATTAATTAATATATTAAGATATAAGTTTCAATTTTCCAGTGATTAAATTTCAAATTTGAGAGTAATTATATATTAAGTTTTTTATTAAATTGTATGTGTATATTTTGTAATTAACATTGAAATTTTCGAAGAAGCATTATATATATATATATATATATATATATATATATATATTTACATAAATTCATGAAACCTATTAATTTTTTATAATTTTTATAAATTATATATATTGTAAGAGGTGAGTACAAGCTTTATTATATTTAATTGAAGAGAACTTGTTAATATGCTTACACTTATAAAAAAATTTGAAACTATTTTATGAAAAATATCCTTAATTTATTTTTAATTTATTTATATTATATTCATAATTAAAAAGATTGTATATTTTCCAAATTCTCCAAATCCTATATATTATTGTTTGCTTATAGTATTGACTATATCTTATTTATTTAAAACAATAATTCAAATACGTCTACATTAAAAAGAAATAATTTTATTGAATATTATAGAAAATTAAAATTGTAAATAATGCAATAAATTTTATGGGACTAAGATTAATGGTTTATATTTAAAACTGTGTATTTAGTAATTTTGCAATATAAACAGTAGGTTTAATTAATTGAAAGATTGAAAGAAGAATGACATTTTTCTTATCAAGAGTAAATCAGATGTGTAAATCAAAAGATATTGTAAAGGTTTATTTAATTGTATATAAGAATCATTTAAACTACCTATAATACACTATATTTTCATATATTTTTAAATCCACGAAGGGTATGTGTTTTTTAAATGAAAATTTCTTTTATATTGATCATAAATGTAAATTGATTTTTAATATTTAAAATGATAAACTGCCATAAATGGTGTAATTATTTCATTTATATAAGATTGTAGTTTTTTTCGTCCTACATACCACATGTGCATGAATAACTTTTGCATGTATCCATCTACTATCTACTTATGTTATTTTATGAAATATTTGTGTAGTTATCAAAATAATTTCGTTTACAAAGATATTTCCGATAAAACGGATAAACTAAGTAAACAAACAATATGTAATTACTTATATAAATATATTCAGGATTCCGAGAACTTCCAAGCTTTCTGATTCTCGGAAGTCTACAAGCCTTACGATTCTTGGAATTCTCCAAGTCTTCTGGTCTACGGAATTCCTAAAGTTTTGTAGTTCTCGGAATTTCTACACTGTTTATTTAGTCTCTAATTTATCTAGCTAGTAACACCAATCACATCTACTGGTGCCAGCTCGAACTAAGCTGTCGCATGGATATTTAAAGCAAACACGCTTCGAGAAGGCGCTCTGTTAGTGAGGCCGTCATAGAAGGAACACGCGTCATTCTCATGTGAGTATTAATTAACGTTAACCGGCAATAAAAGGTGTTGACACCATCTTCTCCTCTTCAAGAAGATATTAGACTACAAAAAACATAGTATTGAATTACTCCTTGTCACGGAAGGTATATAATCCATTGTTAATCCTTACAAGATCAGCAACAACATCGTCACCATCAACAAGGAGCCTCTTGTGTTGGTGAAATAAGCACCACAGGATTAGTTCAATGAATTCAACTCATCAATAAACCATACAAACCATTTTTAACGAAGTATGCATACATTGTATATATCTACAGTCCTTCCACTTAAGTCCTTACCCAAGCATCTGCTAGGGCGGGCGTTAAATTAAAATGAACTATCGAACAAAATATTTGTATAAATAAAATATTGCTGCAAATATATTTTGATTAATTGCTTTTCACGAGTTAATAAATTATTTTTAAAATCTTTAAGTTAATTTAATAATTAGAAATGTTTTGCTATGCAAATTGTTTTAGTTTTAGTTTAATTTAATCGAATTATTAAATATGTTTATTAAAACTTATTATTAAGTAAAGGAATTTGAAATAAAATAGTAAATTTCTAATTTTTATCAAATTTAAATAATTTATAAAAAGTATGAAATCGAATTAAAAATAATTTAGTTTTAATTTAATCATTTTCATAACGATTATTTATATTCCTTCGACTTCGCTTTCGACCTCTAGTTCGTTTTTGACTTTTACATCCACTACACTGAACTTCACATAATCTTGGTAATTCACAGGCTATTCTTTTTATCAGCTTATTCTTTAAATAACCAATGAAGCAACATATGCCATAGTCACTAAAAAATTTATGTTTTACATTTCAAAATATTTTAAATAATTATAAGGAATAATTATTTACTTACGTATACATACTAAAATCTACAGATCTTGTAATGTGCAATGTGATCAGGAAAAATCCTATCGATATTATAAAACAAAGAATTGCCATAGGAAATTTATTATATAGTATCCATGCCGCTGCCTCATTCATTCCAAAACACAAAAGAATCTATATCGAATAGTTATATAAAATTAAAATTATTGAATTATGCAGTTTTTATATGTAGTTGCATTTCATCAATAGCTATTCTTAAATATTGTAATATTAACAAATGAGTTAGGTGTAAAACATATTAATCAAGAAATGAATTAATTTTATATCAAATAAAAGTTGAAATGTTTATATTTTATATATTTTTATTAAATACATTACAGGTTGTAAATATTTTTTAATTACAATTTATTATTAACAGTATGCAATGAAGATATTTTAGTATAGATAATATTATATACAAACAAGCTTACTTTTAGATGTTTACAATGTATTATAATAATAATTGAACACTAGGTTTAAACTACCATAAAAATCGGTGATATCGAATTATTTATTTATTTGCTATTAAAATTACTAATTTTTTATTGTGAATACCATTGGTAATTTTATTACGTAATCTTTTAGCTTTAACCAGAGTTTATATACTTAATTTTTCACATTATTTATCTTTACATATTTTTAATATAAATTATATCCTAATTATTAGTTTCATAATAGTTTGCCGAATTTTTGGTAATTTATATAAAGTTTTACTATTATGTAATATTTTTGAAATTACTTCTAATATAATATTATAATTATATAATATAATATATATATATATATATATATATATATATATATATATATATATATATATAATATAATACATATTTTTGAAAACGAAGTAAAATTATAATTTACCCTACGTAGAGTTTTAGTCAATGTTATATAAATATGAAAATCAATAGGCGTCCAGATACAGGCTATACAAAAGTCTAATAAAAATGATGTTACTAGAAACTGAAAGATAAAATTATTAATTAATAATTATTAGTAGTTTTAGATTAATTTAAAAATAAGAATACCAACATAAATAATTAATGCTATTAATATTGATCTTTTATAGTAGATAAATTATATTCCTTGCTAAATATATATATAAAGTGTTAGATTTAATCATTGAAATTAATTAATATAATAAAGCATAAGTGGAATTATTTAAAATATTTTTGAATACTATTTAATAATATTTAAAACTAAATAAACTTTTTTTTTATTTATCATCTTTATAATAAATTAATATATAAATGTACTTAAAATAAAATTTAAATTATAACTGAAATCATAACATATTTAATTATAGCACTGATATTCTTTTAAATGTATAATGCACTTTAATATTTTTTAAAAATATTTATTAAGAAATAAAATTTAAATAAAATAAAGAATATTATTTTATGAAGATTTTATATTTTGTACAGTAGATAAATATTTCTTAAAAAAATTAAATGTATATAATAGAATGATCCATTTTATTGTTTATATAAACTTAATCTTACTTCGTAAAGACTCATTAATATAGTGATCGGGTTTCGAAAATATGCAGGATATATGTTAAGATTGGTTATTATTGTATATACACCAAGAGCAAAGATAAAAGAGGTTATCGGAGGTCCGGATAGAAAATTATCTCCATATTCATCTTCAAGTGCATCAACAAAACAGGTTTTGAATATTGAAATACCCATAGAGTTTAATACAAGTGCCCAAATTGTGTAAATTATCTTCGTCATTTTATATTTTGAAAACTTATAATTAAAATTTATGAAACTTATTTTTCAATTACATTGAACATCTTAACAATTTAAACATTATGCATTGAACTTCAGTGTATTATGAAATAGTCGAAATAAAAATTTTAATAGACTGATGAGTAGTTTAGATCATTTTTGTTCAAAATAAATACTTGTATAAAATTGAAATATATATACACAATTATTTATGTATAAGACTTACTATATATGTTACAAAATTAATTACAAATATATTTCTTAATTATAAAAATATATATATAAATGAAACTTTTAAACTATTGATTTTGTAAAAGATATTATATTAAAGAAATTACACATATATTTTATATATTGCAATATAGCTTAAGTAAAAACAGGGTTTTAAAATGAATTATATAATATATACATATATATAATTCTTTTATAAAATTGCTTCGACGTAAGAATATTTTATATTAATAATGTAAAACATGTGTAATTTTTATATAAGATTTTTTTTAAAATAAATAATTAAAAAGTTTCATTTAAATTTTTATTTATAATTCTAAATGGACTAGTTTGTTAATACAAATTTTTTATTTGATTAAATAAGAGTAAGTTTATTTAACAGAAATATTTTATAAAAGTAAGAGCATGTGTAAATTACAACTCTAATTTTGGTACAAAATTATTTTCAGTTTTAGTAAAAAAATGTGCTTAAAATATATATTTGATTAATAACAGTAGCAACTTCTATGCTTAAACAAACAATAAATATATAAAATAATTTTACAAAATCATTCAAATATAATTTTCTAAAAACAAATTAATCTAAAGTTTAATGCTTTTTGAAGTCCAATTTACTCTTCTTGTAAATGAAAATAGTAATATCGATTAACCCTTATGTTTTCAAAATGCAAAAAAGAGAAATAAGATATGTAGGAAAAACATATATTAAAAAATAATTTATTCTAGTTTCCAGAAATGTTTTCTACTTCAAATTATTTCTCTTAAAATAAATAATTATATTTTATAAGTAAAATTTATTGTATTAATGATTTTTCCTATATTTTTTATAATTTTCATTATATTTATATTTTTAATATATTTTATTTATAGAGTAATAAATTCGTTTTGAGTAAAATATGTCTTAGTACAATTTTTTTACAAAATGTTATATTAGTTAAAAAAAATTATTTTCATTCTATAAAATTAAACAAAAGTACATATTAGTTTAATCATTTTTATATATAATTATTACTTTTGATATATAATACAATTTTTTGGAATTTTTTATTTATTCTGTATTCTGTAATAATAATATTCTGATTTATTTATTATATGTATAATTCATTTTATTAATGTTTTAAATATTCAAATATTCAAATATTTGTATTTAAATATTCAAAATAATCACACATATTTGTACACAGATTTGTCGAATATTAAATTTTTTAATTTTATAGTACTAGATTACTTTTGCCTTAAATAAAAAACATAATATTAACACAATCAAACAGAATATGTAATCAAATTTTATACATTGAAAATTTATTAAAGATTTGAAATGTCTTACGAAAAATATTTTAATATTAATTACATTTGATGAAAGGAAATGCAAATACGAATTACATCTTAAGAACAACAATCTAAAATGAAAATACATCTTACAAAATTGGTACAAAAGAAAAATATTTTTAATTTAAGTATATGAAAAATAGAGGATAAATGATTTACATATTTGTCTAAATTTTAATAAACCACATGTGAATGAATCGAAGACTTCAGACAATTTAAAAATAATTCTTCTATTTTTGTATACATGATTTAGTATTCCATGATTTCTATAAATTAAAATGTTAAATTAAATTTTCATTGAATGAATTAATTGAAAATATGATTATATATTACTTAGTACTTCGCCCAGAGATCTATTAAAAGTGAGTCAAGTGTTTCGGTAGCATCAAGCATCCATAAAAAAGTTAGTACAGAGATACAAAATGCTGTATGCATTGCTGCTATATCTGTTCCCATATATGAAGCTGTGGTTGTCAAAATAGAATATTTTCCTAATTCCATTTGTGAATTTAACCATAGTAGCTAGGATAAAATTACTTTATTTTAATTACTTCTACATAATATTTAAGAATTAAAAATTATTAATAGGAAGAAAAATTTAATTATAGTATGTTTAAAAATGTCAACTCGCTATGAATATATTATTAAACTGTTTTTTTATCATTTTCATTTTGACTTTAGATATTAAGGGATATAATTATTTTATTTATAAATGAAAGATAAAATTATATGTAAATGCAATAGATGAAAGCACAATCATATATAAGATAAAATAATAGATTTTTAATAAATAATAAACATTTATTTTTTATAAAATCTAAAATTAAACGTTTTAATTTGAATTGATTTTGTTAAATATAGGTTGATTACATTCCTAATTTAAATTTTTCATTTAGCATTTTTGCTTTAATTGTTCATAGTTTTTATTATATTTAGGATTAAATATTTTTAGAAAATAATGAAAGATATTGTTTTAGTTCGATTTGATAAAACTTTCATTACCAATAATCATAATATATTAATTTATTATGATCTAACATTAACATAAGTTAAGTAACATGATGAGTAATTATTTATTGAAATTTAATATTTTCTATATTTACCATTTTACCTGACTCTTGTGTGACACATAAAGTGATGTGCATTAGAGGTATCCAAATGATACGTGTTACTAAATCTGTTACTAAGGCTGATACCAACATCTGCAATTCATTAATATACTCTAAAAATTCTGAAATTTAATTAAAAAATATTACACTAACTTACTTCATAAATAATAAGTAATTGAATCGGTGGCTCTTTCAATGATTTTGGCCATAAGCTATATTCAGCTATCAGACAAAGTGCAGAGAAGATGAAAATAAGTGAGGCATAAGAAGGATCAAAAGGGGCTTCCTTTGTTACCTCGAAACACAAGCCAATTAAGCAAATTTGTCGTAGATGTATGTAGAGGCCTGTAAATACTACAACTACCCAGTGAAAGTTTATACAGTCAAAATATGCAAGCAATTCTCTTATGCACTCCATTGCCGAACTGTAGAGACTTTATAAAAATATTATACGTAATAAATATTCAATTTAAAGTTATTAAGAATGTTTGACCGTCAATTTTAATGTTTTTTAGCATGTGAGAAACTAACCTCATTTATGCTGTCAAAAGTGCGATAAAATTATGACAATCTTGTACATTTTTGTTTATAATCTCTTGTAGTCGGTCCTATATATTTTCTTCTTTTCTTTTTAATTACACATTTTCATTCATATCCCATGAATTTTAAATTAATAATGGAATTGATACAGTTTGCTTTGAAATCATCCTCCTATACTGTCAAATCAATTGTTTCTAAGGTTTTAGGAGAAAACTGATATATTTTTTGTTTCTCTACTTACTTTTATAAGTTATTTAATTTTATTACCTTTATTACAATACAATTTCTAAAAAAAACTTATTGTAAGTAGTTTTTATTTCATAATTATTTATGCTTAAACAAAAAATGTAAAAAAATTAAATTTTTTTTATAATTCAGATCTACAAATTATCTATGTGTAATATTAAATAATATAATACAAATTATTCTATAAAATATATACTATTATTTTTTGCAATAATTATTTATACAATACTTGAGCTAACTTAATTTAATTTTTTTTTAAATAATATTTAATTTGAATATTTTCCAAGAAGTTTATTGTACTATGAAATAATGAAAAAAATTAAATATAATATATTAAATAAAATATATGTTTATTTTATTAATATTATAATATTATAGTAATTCAGAATAATCTTATATTATTATTTTATATAGAAAATAAAATTGATTTTTAAATAAAAATATTAATAAAAATCAAAATTACCTAATTTTAAAATAATTATTAGTCTGCATATTTTTGAAATTCTTGTTCTTTATTTAAATTTAAATACAATTCAAAGTTTATCTTAAAATAATCTTAATAATTATGCGATTAAATTAGTAATTTTGTTTTTAATTTATATACTAAATTTTTTTCATTTACTATGAAACTGTTACTTTTTGAATTTTTAAAAAAATTTAAAAAATTATTATAGGTGTTTTTACATGTAAGTACAATAAATTTTATTTAACTTTGCATTCAAAAGTTAAACTAATATTTTATAAATTTCACATGATAGATATATTAAATACATAAAGAAAACCAGAATAGCAAGAAAAAAATATAGATATAAACTTACTAACTGTGTATTAATTTTAATATATTTGAATGAAGATAAAATATGTCGTTGAATGTCATTTACAAATTTAATTCTTTCTTATTAATTGTGAAGAAGAATACACTAACAAATTTCTGAGAAAGTTAAAAAATATATCAATTACACTAAAGATTTTATTTAAATAATTATGGTAGTATATATTAAAACATTAATTTGTGTTTAAAAGCCAAATCATTTAAATTCAAAAGTTTTATGTAATTTGAATTTTGTGTATCTTCATATGTTTAATAGTTCCCAGCAAGATTAGGTTTTGTTTTTATAATCAAATATTTTATTTACAAATCGAATAAGACATATAATTATTTTAACAATGAATACTAGGCAGTATTATTCCGATATATATTATTAAATTTTTAATAAATATTATTTAGTGAAATATTCATTAGAATACATTTCATTAATTTTCATCATATTTTATGTATTATTTGTCTCATATACAAATTTTTGTTATATGTACTTGAATACAATAGTAGCTTATTTCATTATTTCTATATATAATAAAATTTAGTTTGTTCACATCATCTTTTGAAATTTTATTATAAACCAGACAATATTTGTAATTTCTTTAATTGATCTGCAGTAGTACAAACAAATTTCAATAATAAGTTTCATCAGCAAATATTGTAATATCTAAATGTTATATTGGATTAGCTACAGAAAATAAAAAATGCTTTCATTACTGTTTTCATATTAGAAAGTAGAGGAAAGAGGAATAAACATATATTCTATTTTATCTTCAAATATGATGTGGAAAGGTTATCAATTTACTAGATAGAATACAACTCTATTTATCAAGATATATTTAGGCCATGGTGAATGACGTATTTACAAAATATATCAACGACTATAAATTATGGATACAGCGAAGACATTGGAGAAATTCAAGAATAAACAAATATCATTTTGCGTTATTTTTAAAATTTAATAAATATTTTGTTATATCATATAGAATAATTATATGGAATTTATTCGAACCTTAAAAATATATAGATAAAAATATATAAGCTCATCATTAGAAAGAAAATGATTTTTTAGGTTAAAACAAATGAATAAGAAATTGTAGCACTGTCATTTTTAATAATAAAATTAATTTTATTTATCAGTCAATACTACATATATTTATAAAAATATCATTTATGAAAATATTGCACAATGTATTTATGGTTTATTTATTATCTATTAGGTAATAAAATTAATTGCCAATTTGCAAGGGAAGATAAATAACATAAAATAAATAATTAAAAATAATGTTAAAAATTTTATAAAATGTATATATCTAATTAATTATTTAACTACGAATTTGAATATTTTAAACGGTTAATTCTAAGTGATTATTATATAACATTTCATTTTTCTTTGTTATAGTTGAAAAATTTAATAGAAAATTTTACTGAAAAACAGAATCCTTTACATATAAAATTGTTTAAAGTTAAAAAAATTTACATCAGAAATATGTTATTAAATAAATATTTAATTAAAAGTCTTTTGAATAATTTTATTGGTCCTGAATTTAGTAAATTAGAAAATTATGTTGCTGAAATATACTATTTAAATTAAAAAAGATGATATTTATTACACTTTATTCTGATTTTATTTATTTATCTAAGTTTTATTACATTTAATTCTAACATCACCAGCAAATAAATGTAAGTAAACAACACGTAATGTACAGAAATTTATACTGAAATAGAGTAATGTTTCATTTTCTACAAAAGTGAATAAAAAAAAGATCAAATTATATTGTTACTGCTTTATATTGAGTAATTTCGTTTTTACTTTCACTTCTTAGCTTTTATTACCTGCTTTACATTTTTTTCAAACTTTCTAATTTGTTCTCCAATTTATTTATTTAATAAAGATGAAGATTATTAAAAATCAAATATAATTTTTAATATAAAAATTCCATTTAAGATATTATAAGATATTTATATTATGTACTTACTAATAGAGAATATTTAATTCATACAAATAATTTTTTGTGCATTTATGATAGAATAATAATATTGTTCTGAATTTAACATTTTTTATTGATTTTTTTTATTAAGAAATTTCTAGAGCACCATTATTTTAAAGACAAAAATAATATTTAAGACAATCTTATTTTTTTAGTCGGTTTGTATAAATATTATTTGTAATAAAAAATATTAAAAATTATAATTACCTTAAATTTAATATAAATAATATATCTTCAAAAATGAATAAATTGTTTAATTATTTAAAACAAAATTTTAAAAAGATTTTAAAAATTTTAAAGAATTTGTTTGTATAATTTCATTTAATTTATTGTTTAATTTAATTATTTCAATAATATATGATTACCTTTTCCTTATATTATAATTTATTTTGAATTATAATACATATATATATATATATTCTTTAATTTACTTATAATACTTATAATCATCTATATTATATAATTTTAACATTTATATTAATATTTCATCCGTAAAATATTGGCTTATCTTAGTGTAACATTGCAATTTATTTACAGCACTTATCGAAACTTTTGAATTTTATTTATTTATTAGATTTAAAATTTCAATGTTAATTAAATAAAACTTGATTTATTATTAAATTGTTTATAAACCAAGTAAGTGTTGATTTAATTTTGATATTATGTAAATTTATCAATAAAAGTTAATAATAAATAGTTATTTGCATCTTATCAGAAAGATTGAATGACAATAAATAATCAACAGTCAAAATACACCATAAAGAAATAACATAAACAGAATTTATATATACTTCTTAATATTTGTTTGAATAAATTTCATCAATTTTATAACAAATTTTGTTACAGACTATTAATAATTTAAAATTTAAAATGCGAAATATATTGGAACATTAATTAATTTTTAAATAAAATTTATACTTTTTATAAAATCCTTATTTTTAAAAATGTTCAATTTAGATGACATACCATTATTTTGATAATATTAATATTTTTATCGCAATTGTCAAATATAATAATAATACTACATTTTAATGTTTTTACTTTATACTATTAATAATAATATGGAGCATTTTTATATAGTTGCTTTTAGTAGAATGTTTTCTTAGTTTTTTCAAATATTTTTTCAAATGTAATTATTATTTGAAATTATTTGAAAATATTTAGATTGTTTTTGAAATTAAAAATTTAAAGAAAAATTATACGTGGTAGAAGTAAAAATAAAAAAATTAATTAATTTTAATTGTAGTATTATTTATTTTTTATTTCTTTCATTTGTCTATTAGTATCACTTTGCTATTTCTCAAAGTATAATTTAAAAAATTGTAGTATACTCGGCGATCTACTACCAATTTAGCTAGATAAAAAATGAAACGCAAATGCAAGATTTCATACATAAAAATGTTTGAATTGTGGACATAGCAAAAATGAAGTGTTCATGGAAGAAAATTAAACTATTATTACATTAAATTTTACATTACATAATTGTTACATTAAGTAATAACATTAAACATATTTTTATTTCAACAATAATAGATTTATTAAGTAAAAAAGTTTGGTATATTGGAATTATGATTAAGTATTCTTTACATAATGTTAAACATTTATAATATATTTAAACTGACAGTACATACAAGAGACAGAATATTTTCAATTAAAAAGAGATGGAAAAATAAAAAAGAATGGTAAAGGACAACACGTTATAATTCATATTTATTTAAATTTAGTACACTGTGATAAATGAATGAAACCATCATTGAATAGTCTATTTAGGGTTAATCTATAATATTATAATTTATATTACATTACTAAAGTATTATAATTTATAAATTATTATAATTATATAATAAATATTATAATTATAAATTATAATGATAAATTAAAATATTCAGCGATATAGAATTATAATTAAAAGCAGAATATTAAACTATTACTTCAAAATCAGTATATTAGCTTCTCTATATTTCATACAACTTAGACGGCTGAAACAAATGAAGAAAAACGGATTTTTAATGTTTATAATTTTATTCATGCAATGGCCATTGTTTAACTTTCTCTATTTTTGCTGTTTTTAATGTTTTTTGGATATTCTGTTTTATAGAATATAGTAATTTAAAAGTTTTAGAAACTCTTTAAGTATAGTTTTAAATAATCTTAGAA